TAATTCATTTTAAGTAGTTTAATTTGGAACTAACCTGGAAATGTGATTAAAATTAATTATTATCAGAGATAAGGGCAAAATAGTTTCTACCTATTTTGCGAGGGGGGTGGGGGGGAGAGGGCAGGGTTAAGGGGGAAGGGAGGGGATGGGCGGGAAGGGGGCAGAAATCACCCAAACATTGTATGCACATATGAATAAAAGAAAAAAACAGGTAATTACAGAACAGAAAAGAATATCTGAATAAAGGATAAACATATTACTATGTAAAAATAAGTAAATAAAAATAAAATTATCAGTGATCACACTCTCATATACTGTTGAGCACAAAAATGTTAATAATAAGCATTAAGTAGTACTCATTTTAAGTTTCATGTTAATTAAGAAATATACTCTGTATTTTTAAGCACCTATGTCTAATAGTCAAATTACCTGATTTTTGTTTGACTTGTGTTTGTTTAGTCATTCTGACTGGGGAAGGAGGATTGATTTTTTTTTTTTTTTTAAATCTTCCTGGGGCTATTTGGCTGTCTGGAGATAGTTTGGGTTGTCATAACTGGAAGATGCTATTGACATCTTGTGGGTAAAAGCCTAGGATGCTGCAAAACTTAATTCACAAAGCAGCCCCTCATAAATAAGTATTATCCAGCTCAAAATGTCAAAAGTTGAAAGTAGTAATTTCTGAAGAATGGGTTGAGCATGGTTGAAGCACAAGACCCTGAGTTCAACTCCAGTACCACCAAAAAAAAAAAATGTGTTGGTTGTTTGGATTTGGTACAAGTTAGTTTAAATAGGTTCTAGCACACTAATGAAGTCTAAGCTGCCAGTAACTTAGTTCCAGTAGGCTTCTTTCTGTAGCCCATGCAACCTGGTCCCAACCAGATGGTTTGAACATTTTTGGCACTGATTACAGAAGAACAAAGTGAAACAGCATAGATGGGTTAGCAAAAGTTCTGAGAAAATCTCTTCTCTCAAAGCATATTTTTACTTCAAATCTAGCTTTACCCTTCGGGCTTCTTCTCAGTAGGTTGGAATCAGGTTGTAAACTGTGACTAACAACATTGCTTAATTTTTTTATGAGTTCCTGAATTAATGGTCTACAGACTTGAAGCACTGCAAGTGTTACTTCATGGGCAGGCTGTTATCCTGCTCCAGCCTACCATCTGTTGGAAGGGGTTAAGTGGGAAGTCCAGTGTCCACAAACATCCATACTCATTCATAGACCTCAGTAGTTATAGGAGGTCAGAAACTGAAATTCACATAAGTGCTGATAATGAGAAGAAATTAACATTTGATAGTTGTGCTGCATGGCTCTCTTTCATAGTGTAATTTTTGTGTGTTTCACAGTCTCCTTGTGAGTTTATTCTATCTGTGTGTGTGTGTGTGTATGTACATATACGCTGAAGATCAAAGTCAGGGCCTTGTGTATGTTAAGCAGATACTTAAGCACTGAGCCACCTCGAGCCACTTATTTATGCTTGACAACTTGATCTGCCATGAACAAAGACAGATGTATTTGAAACATGGCCTTAAAACATTTGTTGATATGCAGAATTGGTACAGACCAAATTTGAATTTCATGTAAAGTTTTTCTCTTAAAAATATTACCTAATCGACGTGCAGTGGCATATGTTTGTAATCCCAACTACTCAGGAGGCTGAAGCAGGAGAATTGCAAGTTTGAGGCCAGCCTAATATATAGAGTGAGACACTATCTCAAAAAATTAATTAGTTAATTATTAAAATATTACCTAGGAGGACACTGCAACAAACCAACATTGTGTGGTTAGAACTACAAGTCTCTAAACTTTTGTTTTTTAATTATTAATTTATTCACATGTGCATACATTGTTTGGGTCATTTCTTCCCCCTACCCCTCTTCCCTACCCCCTCCCCCCCACCGCAGCTTCCAGGCAGAACCTGTTCTGCCCTTATCTCTAATTTTGTTGAAGAAAAGACAAAAGCATAAGGAAGACAAAGCATTTTTGCTAGTTAAGGATAGCTGTACAGAAATATTCCTAGCATTGCTTTTGTGTACACATGTGTTACAAACCATGTTGATTCATCTCTAACTGATCTTTACACTGGTTCCTGATCCCCTTATGTTACTTTCTGTCACTTTAAGGTTTCTGTATTAGTTCCTCTGGAGTAGGGACATCAAACGCTTTAATGTTTCGGATTTTCTACCTATTCCTGTATCTCCAATATGTGCTCTCCCCTTGTCATGTGATCCAAGTCCAACCACATTGCTGCATTTGCTGTAATCTAAAGTCCACATATGAGGAAGAACATACGATTTTTGGTCTTCTGAGCCTGGCTAACCTTGCTTGGAATGATGTTCTCCAGTTCCATCCATTTACCTGCAAATGATAAGATGTCATTCTTCTTCATGGCTGAGTAAAATTCCATTGTGTACAAGTACCGCATTTTCTTGATCCATTCATCAGTAGTGGGGCATCTTGGTTGTTTCCATAACTTGGCTATTGTGAATAGCACTGCAATAAACATGAGTGTGCAGGTGCCTCTGTAGTAACCTTTGTTGCATTCCTTTGGGTATATCCTCAGGAGTGCGATTGCTGGATCACATGGTAGTCTATGTTTAGATTTTTAAGAAGCCTCCAAATTTTTTTCCAGAGTGGTTGTACCAGCTTGCATTCCCACCAGCAGTGGATTAGGGTTCCTTTTTCCCCGCATCCTAACCAACACCTGTTGTTGGTGTTTTTGATGGTGGATATTCTAATGGGGGTGAGGTGGAATCTTAGTGTGGTTTTGATTTGCATTTCCTTTATGACTAGAGATGGTGAGCATTTTTTCATGTGTTTTTTAGCCATTTGGATTTCTTCTTTTGAGAAAGTTCTATTTAGTTCAGTTGCCCATTTCTTAATTGGTTCATTGATTTTGAGAGAGTTTAGTTTCTTAAGTTCCCTGTATATTCTGGTTATCAGTCCTTTGTCTGATGTATAGCTGGCAAATATTTTCTTCAGTTTAGAGACCATTTCTTTTGTTGTGCAGAAGCTTTTTTTATTTTATGAAGTCCCATTTGTCCATCCTTTCTCTTAGTTGCTAGGCTGCTGGGGTTCTACTGAAGAAGTCTTTTCCTATACCTATTAGTTCCAGAGTGTTTCCTGCTCCTTCTGGTAGTAACTTCAGAGTTTCGGGTCTGATATTTAGGTCCTTGATCCATTTTACGTTGATACTAGTACAAGGTGAACAAGTCTCTAAACTTAATGGAAAAGATTAGTTTAGAATTTGGCCATTTGACTCTGCTCATGTAACAGTGAAAGCAGACATAAATGAAAACATTATGTAAAAAAAATTACTTGGGATAAATTTCATAAAATGGCATCTTTTTTCTTGGCTTTTGATTCATCCTGTTTTTAAATTTTATTTTATTTTTGAATTGACATATGTTAATAATTCAAGGGGATTTGATTGTGATAATTCCACACATGTGTACAGTATACTTTGAACAAGTGCACTGCCAATAGTCTCATTTTGTGTTAAGTGGTTTATTTGTATTATGGAAGATAGTTTTATTAATTTGATATTTTTGATGTTTGGGAGGATACACATGGCATAATGGAAAGAACATTAGCTTTCGTGTCAAATTCAAGTCCACATATGCCACTATTGAACTGTTTAACCTTGGAACACTTAACTCTTATGTCCCTGAAGAAGGGAGAAAACTTCAATAACAGAGATAAGATAATAAGTAAATAAGTGTGTGATGGCATACTTGGGAAGCTGGAGCAAGAGGACTGAGAGTTCAGGACCAGTCTGGGCTATGTAGCAAGACCCTCTCTCAAAAACCAAAATATATAAGCAAATAAGATAATCATGTAGAAGAATGGTAAAGAGGAGAGAAGGATACACGTTATTTGGAGTTATCATTCACTTATAAGTAGATCGTAGTAGTTGACACAGGAGTTGGAGTTGGGCAAATGGGATCTGGACTCTGGCTATCATTGACGATTGGCTGTGCCATGGACTACCTGCAGTTATTTGACAGGCATATAACAGGATGTGACTTGCCCAAAGTCACACAGTGAGTTGGGGCAAAGCAGTTGAGGCTCTTCCAAGTCTCATTTTCCTTCCATGTGAAATCATTCTCTGGTGATTGTCTTGTACCCTGTTGAGCAATTAAGATCATAATAGTAAGAAACAACCTGCAATGTCTAATCTCTTCTGAATTCTGTCAGATAAAATGTAGTGTTCCATCCTTTTCCTCAAATAGTTTATCTTTCTGGTTGTGAGAGCCACTCTATGTTGAGTCTTAAAAACTTGGGAGTTTAGCTCTGGCCATGGTGGTACATACCTGTAATGCCAGCAGTTAGGAGACTGAGGCAAGAGGATTGTAAGTTTGAGGCCAGCCTGGGCTACATAATGAGACCCTGACTCAAAAAATTAAAAAGCAAAACAACAAAAAAAATAAGGGTGAATTAGATCTAGTACTACTATACAAATAATGCTAATGCTTAGGTCAATAATAATGAATAATACAAATATTGATAGTGTACTTGGAAATTGTGTGCTTGAACTGTTTATTTGAATACTTTGTTCTTTTTTTTTTCTACATTGGTCTTATTTTTGGAGCACTTCATAAACTGTGGCGAACAAGTGGGCAAGCAAGAATGGAAGCAGAGACTAGTGTGAAAGTGGTACATTGGTAAACTATGATGGTTGCCCAGATAGGGTAGTGGCTAGAGTGGTAGTGAGAATATAAGACTGTATCTAAGGCTTAAGAGTTGATAAAGTAATTTTTACTGCTTTATCAAGGAATGGAAAACTGACATCTTTTTTCACAGCAACCACATGTCTAAGAAGAATACAACTAATAGTAATAGTATGGTACCACTTACGTGGTTCATGACAAGTCACCAGTAATCTCACCTACCATTGCTTTTATATCATCATTGCTAATATCAACATGGAGAAATTATACTCCATTTGACAATGTACTGTTTCTCCAGTAACCAGGCTTCAACCTCTCCCCCTTTCCTGCAGACCCTAATTATCTCATGGCCAATGAACGAATGAACCTGATGAACATGGCAAAGCTGAGTATCAAGGGCTTGATTGAATCAGCTCTGAACCTAGGAAGGACTCTAGATTCTGACTATGCACCCCTCCAGCAATTCTTTGTGGTGATGGAACACTGTCTGAAACATGGCTTAAAAGGTAAGCTATGGCCTCAAAAACACAACTGTGCACATAGCTATATCCTAGCAATACACAGTCAAGAAAATAATTATTTGTGGAGTCAAAGAATATGAAAGAAGCTTAAGCTGGGCAAAATGTTAGTAAAACACCATCACAATTAATAAGGATAAGTGAGGTGGTGTGGACCTGTGGTCCCAGCTGTGCTGAGAGGCACAGGTAGGAGAATCAGTCTGAGGCCCTGAGCAAAAACACAAGAAAATAAAGCCAAAAAGGCCTGAGATCGGCGTTCAAGTGGTAGAATGTATGTCTAGCAAGCATGAAGCCCTGAGTTCAAACTCTGGTACCATCAAAACAAAGGAAAAATAAGAAACTTGAATTAGTAACATTAATCCTAGGTGGGAGCAGGGGTATGGTTGACTTGAGTTACAGAGCTGAAAAATCATTAAATGTCAGAATTGGACGGGTCAATATAAGTAATTAAATTCAGTTTGGCAGTTCCATTCATGCAGTTGATGGAAATAACCCTGCCTAGAACGGGACATGTTTGGCCAAAGTGACACAGTAAGTTTGGGCAGAACAGGTAGTAGATCTCAGGTTTCCTGACTCTTCCTTTTTGAGGTAGGACATGGTCTTATTCACTTTTCCTTCCTTTCTTCCTCCCTTTCCAATATTCAGTTTGGGCAACAGTCTTTTCCAATGGACTGTTTTCTTTACTAATACCACATGATCGGTTTTAAGTACCAAATTGTTAAAGAATGTTTTGTTATATTGTAGGACTAGGCCACAAATTCTTCCTGAAAGTGGAAAGACTGAGTCTTGGGATGTATAAATTTTTTATTTTCAAATTTTTATCAATTCCGAAAGTATGAATAATTTTATTGGTTTTTTTTTTCTGGTGGGACTGGGGTTTGAACTCAGGACTTTCCACTTGCTGTATCACATGAGCCATTCCATATGGTTATTTTGGAAATGGGGTCTTGAGAACTATTTGCCCGGGCTGGCCTCAAACTGAGATCCTCCCAATCTCAGCCTCCCAAGTAGCTAGGATTACAGGTGTGAGCCACTGACATCCAGCTAGTAAGAATAATTTTAAAACTGTCTAATAATTTAGGATTGGATCACTAATAAAGACATTGAGTAGATAGAAGGCAAGAGAAAGGGAGGGGGTAATAAAAGAGTATGTTTTAAAGAATATTAAGATACTACTTTGTTTTTGTTGCCTTAGCAAAGAAAACCTTTCTTGGACAAAATAAATCCTTCTGGGGCCTCTAGAACTGGTAGAAAAACTTGTTCCAGAAGCTGCAGAGATAACAGCAAGTGTTAAAGATCTTCCAGGACTTAAGTAAGTCCCAAGTAGAAGTTTGTTTCTCAACAAAATTCTTATTTCCTTAAAGAATGGTACTGAAGATAATACTGTCCATATCATTTTATAACAATCCAAATGTGTGATGTTGTTGTCAGTAGACTCTGTTAGGAGAGAACTGTCCTGTATAAGTTTAAGAAATGTGAGCTGAAAGATAATTATTAAGAAAGGTTGTCTTCATGTTAAAGTACCAAACATTTCCTTTTTATTTAAAACATTTATGAAAATCAGTAAGTCTGAAGAAATCTGATCTAGGGAGGTAGTCTGGCTTAACTTGGAAAAAAATGTACTTTATGGGGTTTGAGAGCCAAGATTAAAACAGTTTGTTAAATGAGCTTCAGGAGGCAGCATCTACAACCTGCCTTTACTTGAAAAATGTAGGGATCACCTTCCAATTGAGATTGGTTTGATTTTAATCAGAAAGAGGCTTAAATTGCCAGTGTCCACATTACTCTTTGGGTACTTACTAACCTGATGTAACATTTCCAGTTGGGCTTCACAGAGGTCTTCTCTTCCAATTATCATCACATTTAGTAATTAATTATTTGAAAGAACATTTGTCCCAAACATACCTGAGTCTCACTGTTCTACACAGAGTTTCTTGCACAGGGATGTGGTAGGAGAGGTTGTGAGGAGCACTTCATTATACTTATACATTGGAAGACCACTGGCAAGAGCAAGTGATCTGTTCTATTTTGGTCCCTGCCTGTTACTTATGTCTTTAGTCATTTGGTTTTTGTGCTTTTATAGGACACCAGTAGGCAGAGGAAGAGCCTGGCTTCGATTGGCATTAATGCAAAAGAAACTATCAGAATATATGAAAGCTTTGATCAATAAGAAGGAGCTTCTCAGGTATAAACTTGAACGTTCTTCTTCCTTGGTATATTCTGTGTGATACAAATTAAACCATGTAAGTTTGCCATTTCTATAAATCAGAAGCAGATGACTTGTAACAATTTCAGTGCTTTCTATGGCACCTCACACACTCATACTCCTTTGTTTTATACTCATATATATATATACTACTCATATATACTGTGGTATATATGGTCCTTTGTAGAGTTGGCCAAAATGTAACACCTCTGGAAAATAGGAAAGGCTTTTGATACCTTAGCATGTGCCCAGGCTCAATAAGACAAGAAACTGACATGTAGTATTAAATTCAAATATACCACAAAAAATTTCAGATGGATCACAAGTCCAAAGCCATCCTGGTCTGGCCGTCACAAAGAAAAAGAAAAAAAAAAAAAAAACACCTTGCTTTCTGTTTTTGTTCAGGCTAGCCTGGACCACAATCCTCCCACCTTTCATCTCCCAAGTAGCAGGTATTACAGGTGTGAATCACAAAACCTAGCCAAAAATGGCTAAAATGGAAAGATAGATAATACCAAGCGTTGGTGAGGATATGACATAAATTTAATGTTCTGCTGATGGGAGAGTTAATTGGTACAGAAATTGAGGAAACTATTTGTCATTATCTCATGAATCTAATTAAAAACATAATCTTCTGATGCAGTGATTCTGGTTATCATATCTAACAGCAAAGAGAGGAAGACTGTTCATAGCTATCACAATGATTGTAATAGCCCCAAATGTTTGTAACAGTCCCCAGTGTGTCCACTTACAGTACAGTGGGTAGTAAATTGTAGTATATTCATATAATGACATACTATATGTCAATGTGGATTAATATCATGAATGTAATTTTGGGCAAAGAAATGAGACACAAAATGTTCATTGTGCATTATTCCATTTATAAAAAGATCATATGCAAAATTACTCTCTCATGATAGTTAGGAAAGAGGCTACTGTTGGCCAGGTTTGGGGTGGGTAATAAGGAGTAGGAAGGGGCAATGAGTTTCTGGTAATGCATTCATTATTTCTTAATCTAGGCACTGGCTGCATGAGTGTGTTCTCTTTATGAAAAATGCATCTAGCTGTACCACATGATTTGTATACTTTTATATATATGTTCTAGGCCATTAAAAATTATCAAAAGAAATTCATATACAGCAGATTGCCTTAGAGAAATAATGTGAGAAAGAGCAAGTGACAGAATTGAAAGAAATGACGGGTTTTCCAAGAAGCTAGTTTATATAAGAAATGTTTTGATATTGCTGTAGCTACATATGCCATTGATTGCTGTTTTCTTACTAAGAAAAGAAAATAAATCAAGAATAAGAAATGGGAACCAGTCAGAGGAGTTTACTTATTTCCATAAAGCAAAGGCCAAAATTTACAGAAGTCAAGTTTTAAAATGGCAAGGAGTCTAGTGTTCAAGCTGTAGATACCTACAGGAGTGTGTCCATGATCAAAATTGTGTGATTCTAAGTGGATCTAGAGTATTAAGTCTTTGTCCAGCAGAGCACAAAAGTAAATAGATTCACTCTTGTGAACTGGAAAAAAAATCATCCTTTATGTATATCTTCACTCGCTTTGACCCAGCAATTTCACTCCTAGGTATGTTTAACAGAAATACATATATATATGTACCAAAAATATGTACAGGAGCATTCTGAGAAACACTATATAATCCATATTCACTAGAAACAACCCAGAAGTCTATTGACAGTAAATAGAACAGATACATTGTGGTATATTCCTACCATGGAATAGTGTCCAGCAATGAAAACACATGAATTACAGCTACCTTCAAAATATATAGGAATTTCACAAATAAAATATTGCACAAAGGAAGCCTGACACAAGAATTGTGTCCTGTATAATTCTTTTACATAAATGAATGGGTAAAAATCTATCTGTTGTCATAGAAATTAGGACAGTGGTTACCTTGAGGAGGAGGTAAGGATAGTGACTGGGAGAGAAAAAGATTTCTTGGGTTCTCTTTCTTTATCAGGATAACAGTTATATAGGGAGATGTGTCTCAGGAACACTCATGGAATTATACACTTAAAATGTGCATATTCTGTGTATGTGTTAAATATCAAACTAGAAAAATTAATATATCATCATGCCATCTGACATTTTGTTAACCATTTTTGAAATATGTGGGAATACAGCCATGTTTAACTTCTGAATCAGTATCTGAAAATTTTTTAAGGTAAAACTTTAGGAGAATAAACTGTTGAATATTGTTCATCGCACTTCTACTCATTTTCCTTCGGAAGTTATCAAAAGACAAAAATAGCATGTGATCAGTGATTGAAAATTTTGGTAAATTTGTAGGTTATTCTTGTGCTGTTTTTAAACTTCTTTGCTGTTTACTAACATATTTATAGAGATTCAAAAAGGAAACAAGAAACAAAAATCAATGAATTGTGTTGTTAGCAGTGAGTGAGACTGACCTTGAATAGTCTCTAGTGACTTTGGTGGAAACCAATAGATTGCAATTATGTCTTAATGATAATGTCAGATTAGTTGAAAATTAATGTTTCAAGTCACTGAATTGCTTTTTACTTGTTTTTGTGTTTTGGATGCTGGGAATTGAACCCAGGGACTCACACATGCTAAACACATGATTTACCACTGAGTGATACCCCCAACCCCACAAAAAAGATTTTGTTTTGGGTTTTTGAGAAGACGTGGTCTTGCTATATAGCCCATAACGGCCTTGAACTTACTCTGTAGCCCAACTGGTCTCGGACTTGACATCCTCCTCTCTCAGCCTCCCAAAGTGTTGGGATTACAATGCCCAGCTCCAGAAAAAAAAATTATTAGCATTTCTTAATTGTGCAAAGGGATTTCATTGTGATGTTTCCATATATACATATAATGTACTTTGATCAAATTCACCACCTCTGTTCCTTTCTTCCCCATAACCCCTTTATTATAAACAGTTTTATGTGGTTTCCTTATTCTATTTTCATACATGCATATAAAGTATTTAAATTATATTCACTACCCTCCCTTTAGCCCTCCTCACTCCCTTGGGTTCCCACCTCCAAACAGTCCCCATTTTACAGTCATGTCATGTGTTTTTTGGTTTTTGTTTTTGGCAGTACTGAGTTTGAACTCAGGGCCTCACAGCGACTCCACCAGCCATTTTTTGTATTAGGTATTTTCGAGATATAGGGTCTTATGAACTATTTGCCCAGACTGGCCTTAAACCTCAGTCCTCCTGATATCTGCCTCCTGAGTAGCTCAAATTATAGGCGTGAGCCACCAGCACTGTTTTTCTTTAAGTCTAGATTCCACATATGAGAGAGAACATGTGATATTTGTATTTTCTCAGTCTGGCTTATTTCACTTAACATGATGATCTCCAGTTCCATCCATTTTCCTGCACATGACATAATCTCATTATTCTTTATGGTTGAATAATACTCCATTGTGTGTGTGTATATATATATATGTGTGTGTGTGTGTACCACTTTTTCTTTATCCATTTATTGGTTAGTGGGCATCTAAGCTGATTCCATAGTTTGAATGTTGCTATTATAATAGTAACATTGTAAACATGGGTATATATCTTTATTGTATCCTGACTTACATTCCTTCAAGTTTATGCCTAGGAGTGGTTATAGCAGGATCATATGGTAGTTCTATTTGTAGTTTTTTGAGGAATCTCCATACTAATTTCCATACTGGCTACACTAATGTACATGTCCACCAATAGTGTATGAGGGTTCCTCCCCTCCCTCATCCTCAACAGCATATGTTGTTGTTGTTTGTTTGTTTTCTTGATGATAGCCAATATCAGTGAATATCAATGAATATCATTGGACTATCAGTGTTATTTTGGTTAGCATTTCTTTTATGGCTAAGGATGTTGAATATTTGTACTGCTTTTGAGAGTTGTCTGTTCAGTTCATTTGCCCAGATTGTTTGTTCTTTTGGCATTTACTTTTTGGAGCCCTTTATATATTCAATATGTTAATCCTTTCATCTGATGAATAGCTAGCAAAGACTTTCTCTTATTGTCTAAATTGTCTCTTGGTTCTGGTGATTGTTGCCTTTGCTGTGCAAAATCTTTTTAAATTTGGCACAATCCCCATTGTCAATTCTTGCTCGTATTTCCTGAAAAACTGGAGTCCTATTCAGAAAAGCATTCCTTATGCCTGTATCTTGAAGTGGTTTTCCTGTTTTCTTGCAGTAGCTTCAAAGTTTCATGTTTTCCATTTTGAATTATTTCTTGTACAAGGTGAGAGGTAGGTGTCTAATTTCAGTTTTCTACATACTGAATATCCAGTTTCCCAATACAATTTGTTGAAGAGGCTATCTTTTCTCCAAAGTATGTTTGTGGTGCCTTTGTCAAAAATTGGATGGCTGTAACTGTGAGCTTATTTGTGGGTCTTTTTTCTGTTCCATTGATCTACATGTCTGTTTTTGTGCCAGTGCCATGCTATGTTTGTTACTATGACTCTGTAATATAATTTTAAGTCAGGTATTGTGATTCCTCCATCATTGCTGTTTTTGCTCAGAATTACTTTGGCTACTCAGGATATTTTGTGCTTCCATATGAATTTTAGGACTGATTTTTCTATCGTTATAAAAAATGACATTAGAATTTTAATGGGGATTTCATTGAATCTGTAGACTACTTTGAGTAGTATAGCCATTTTAAGTAATACTATTTCTTCTGATCCATGAACATAAGAGGTCTTTCCAGCTTCTAGTGTCTTTTTAGAGTCATTTTAGATTCATAGCAATATTGAGCACAAGGTACAGAGATTTTTTCTTCTTTTTTTTTTTTTTTGCATTACTGGGGTTTTGAGCAGGGCTTTGCTCTTCGAGGCAGGTGCACTACCACTTGAGCCACACACCCAGCTCGGTAATATCCCTGTGGTTTACGTCCCACACCAGAATAATACATTGGTTGTAATTGATGAGCCTGTACTGATACATCATTGTCTCTTAAAGCTCATAATTTACTTTAGCTTTCTCTTTATATTATAAACTCTGTAGATTTTGAACAATTTATAATGGCATGTATCCATATGTCGTAATAGTATCACACATAATAGTTCCACTGCCTTTTAATTCCTCTCTGTTCCACCTCTTCATCCCTTTCTTACCCAACTCCTGGCAACCCCTCAGTCTTTTACTGTCTTTTCCTTGCTTTTGTCTTTTCCAGATTGTCAGGTAGTTGGAATCATATTGCTTTTAGACTCTACCTTCATTTAGTAATATGCACCTAAAGTCGCTCCATGTCTTTCCATGGTTTGGTAGTTCATTTTTTAGTGCTAAGTTATATTCCGTTATCTCTACGTATCACAGTTTATCCATTCAGCTACTGAAGGACATTTTAGTTGCTTCCAAGTTTTGCAATTATGAGTAGATCTGCTATTAAAACCCATTTACAGGTTTTTGTGTAACCTGTTGGTAAGTACTAAAAAACATGATTGCAGGACTGTATAGTAAGAATATGTCACTGTTGTGTGTGTGTGTGTGTGTGTGTGTGTGTGTAATTTAGGTGTGTCATAAGTAGTATTTTGTCATCTGTAGAGCTTCAAGAATATCCATTCAGAATTTTACAGGTGTTTTGTTTCTCTTGCTTTTTATTTGAGTTATTTTTGGTCTATTATGCATGCCATATGGGATTCATGTTACTAAAAGCCCCAAGCGACTTATTTCAGAGAGGGGTTGAAATAAACCCCAAAGGAAAAGAGGTTAAAAAAAAAAAAAGGTAATACACCCATACAGTGGAATGTTATAAAAACCAGTGTAAACAAAGTTGTGGACAGTTATTTATTGAAATCAATACTTTTAAGCCAAAAACAAATTTCAAGTTAACTATAGTGGTACAATTCCTTTTTCAGTGTCCCTCAAAAATATGTATACGTCTCCATAAATAATCTGAAAGGCTATATATCAACATCTTAACAGGCTATTGGTAGGTGGGATTATAAGGTTTCTTAATATATTTCTCTTCCTTGCTTCTACTTTTTTTTCCTGAAATAAAAATCAATTTATAGAAGAAAAAAGCCCTTAGAAGTTTTGTTTGTTTGTCTGGGGTGTGCTGGAGTTGAACTCAGGGCTTCATGCTTGCTGGGCATGTGCTGCACCACTTGAGCCACTTTTTTGCTCTGATTATTTTGGAGATAGGGCATTTTTTTTGGCCTTTGTCTGGGCTTGCCAGGAGCTGCAGTCCTCCGGACATCAGCCTCTCACATAGCTTGGAATAACAGGTATGTACTACCACAGCCAGCTGTTGGTTAAGATGGAGTCTTGATAACTTTTTGCCCAGGCTGGCCTCAAACCATGATCCTCCCAATTTCAGCTCTCCAAGTAGCTAGGATTACAGGCTTGAGCCACTGGCACCCAGGCCCTTTAGAAGTTTTAAAACATCTTTAACCTATTGTATATTTGGCTTATTAGGCAATTATTGCTAGTTAAAAATGAATATATGTAGGGCTTGGTTATGCCTCACTGGCAAAACATTTACTTAGCATTCAATCACCAATATTGCAAAGAAAAAAAGTACATGTGTATGTATGTGATTCAACAGTTTACGTTTTAAGATGTTTATTCACTGCATCAAAGGAATTTTTTTTGCTGAAGTAGAATTAAAAGTAAAGAAGTTTTGGACTGGGGATTTGGCTCAAGAGGTAGAGCACCTGCCTTGCAAGCGAGTTCAACGCCCTAGTACCTCCAAAAAAAATGCAAAGACGTTTTTAAAATACAAACCAAACACACCAGGTGCCAGTGGCTCAGGCCTTGGAGAATCTCGGTTCAAAGCCAGCCTGGGCAAGGTTGGAGAGATCCTGTCTCAAGAATACTCAGCACAAAAAAGGGCTGATAGAGTGCCTCAAGTACTGGTAGAGTGACTCAAGTGGTAGCACCTGCCTAGCAAGAGTAAGGCCTTGAGTTCAAGCCCTAGTATTGAAAAAAAAAATTAGATGAATAAAAGATTGTGAGTGTATCCCCTAGAAAATCCAGTCTGAATGTTCACTTCAACCATAATACAATTCTGATCACATCTTTTTCAGCCAAACTATTTATTATGCCATCTGTTCACACATCTGTTACCCATAATGAAGTATTTATTAAAGGCTTTTCAAATATTTTTTTACATTATCATAGATACAATAATATCTCTAATATATATATTCACCTATGAGACACGTGTTTTTCTGCTCATTTCATGATTACATCACTGGCTTCTTGAGGTTTTATTAGAGTCTTTGTTGGATTTCTTTTACAGTGAATTCTATGAACCCAACGCCCTCATGATGGAAGAAGAAGGAGCTATAATTGCTGGTCTGTTGGTGGGTCTTAATGTCATTGATGCCAATTTCTGTATGAAAGGAGAAGATTTGGACTCTCAGGTATGAGAAAAATATTCATTTAACTAGGTACATCATTCTGAGTTCTGTTACATCAAGATTTGAATTAACTAAATTTTACCAGACAAGTTAGAAGAGAGGCCTGAATCTTAAATAGATTTTCTTTCATTTTGATATGAGACAATGTTTTATGCCCTGGAAAAAAAAAAGTACCCAGTTTCATATTAAATTATGAAAATTCTCTCTGTAGGTTGGCGTTATAGACTTCTCAATGTATCTCAAGGATGGAAACAGCAGTAAAGGTAGTGAAGGGTATGTACAAAGAAAATTTGGCTTCTTTTTTTCTCTGATATGGTAATTTTTTCCCTTTAGTAGTGTTTAAAGTTTGCAATACTGATTTAAAAAGCTTCCCAAAATAATTTTTTATTACAGAGCTTTAGGAAAATTTCCTAAAAATATCTGACTATTGTTCTTACTGCTAAACCCCAAAAGGGTTTTTAGTTGAATGACTTTCCTTCCTGCTTTGTGGTTCAGGAGAAGACAAAAATTTTCCAAAGGATTCCAATTCTCACACCGGATGTGGTAGTGCACATCTATAATCCCAGCACTGGGAAAGCTGAGGCAGGAGGATTGCAAGTTCAAGACCAGTGCTACATAGTGAGGCACTGACTAAAAATAAACAAATAGAAATACAGATAGAAGGAAAGGGAAGGGAATAAAGAAGGGTGAAAGAGAAGGGAAGGAAGAAAGGACAGGAATCTAGTTTTCCATCTCTTAAAGTCGTGCTTAAAAACAGACATGGTCAGTGAGATCCTACAGTCCTGTGACCCTGGCACTTGGTAGGCTGAAGCAGGAGGATCAAAAGTACGAGGTCAACCTGGGCTACATAGCAAGACTGACACTCTCCGGGGAAAACAAAAACTGTCTTAGAGACTTTCTGTGCCATTGACTTCATGTTTTTGGCAGTACTGGGGTTTGAACTCAGGGCCTCACACTTGCTAGGCAGGCACACTACCATTTGAGCCAAAAATAGTTTTTAAAATATTCTGGTGCTAGGTGATTAGAGATCAGAAATGCATCTTTAATATTTGAGAAAATAATTATAGTGATGGGGTGCTTTTTTTGGGGTGTGTATACACCAATTTGGCCTCAAACTGATGATCCTCCTGCCTTAGCCTCCCAAGTGCTAGGATTACAGGTGTGAAGCCCAGCTAGTGTGATGTTTTTAACCTTGGACATTGAGTCTATGATTATATCATTTGGTTTTTTTTTGTAGTTGTAGAGGTATGTGAACTTAATTTTGTCTTTCAGTTGAAGAGTGTGTTTAACTTGTACATATTATTTAGTTAGTTCTACAAGTGGATGTCCTTTTTCCACATTTTATTTTCTCAAGTAATAATAAATACTTTTATGACAGCCTTTTACTCACTTTAAATGTAAATACCACTGAAAGGCAAATATATAGCCTTTGAGAACAGCTGTTTACACCTCAGTGAGTTTAACTCAATCCCTATGACAAGTAGAAAATTGTTGCTATAAATATAAGTGAAGCTTGTATTAACTTGCAAGAAGAAAATTTTTATCTTTAAATGTACTAATAGATTATAAGATATTATACATCTAACCTAAGTTACTAAGGTTTGTAAGCTATATAACAATGGCTTTTTTTCTTTTTTTCTTTTTGGTTTCTTGAGACAGTACAGCCCAGACTGGCCTCAAACTCACAATCCTCTTTCCTCAGCTTCCCAAGTGCTGGGATTATAGTCATGTGCCACCACCCCTGTACTTATAAAGGCTTTATTACTTTGGATTTTTGTTCATTTTTTAACTTCTTGTTGATTTGTCTAGGTGGTTATACATCAAGTTTATTTTCTGGTTCAGTGTATCTGTGCCCAAAGTTTCTTCTCATGTTTTATGAAAAGTTATCTTGGTATTTCTAATGTTACTGATTTTATTTCTATTTCCTCTCTTTCACCTCCCTAGGGATGGTCAGATTACTGCAATTCTGGACCAGAAGAACTATGTGGAAGAACTCAACAGACATCTGAAGTAAAATTCATCTGATGAATAAATAACATTCTTTTACTGGGAAAGGGGATTTGTTGGGAGAGAGGAAAAGACAATATTCAACAACTATATGTAAAATTCCTGCTTGCCAGCACAGGCCCTGGATAAATGATATTCATTGTTTTGGTGACCATTAGTGAAAGGCAATATAAGATTATTATGAAGTTATAACTCTTTTGGTTAATTTTTGGGCTGGAGGTTTGTGGCTCAAGCAGTGGAGTACCTGCTTAGCAAGTGGGAAGCCCTGGGTTCAAATCCCAGTACTGCAAAAAGAAAAAGAATTTTTTGTATTTTGTGTATGTTTTTAAAATTAGGTTACCTTTTTTTGGTGGGGGGGGTTGTACTGGGGTTTGAACTCAGGGCTTTGTGCTTGGTAGGCAGGTACTCTACCATTTGAGCCACTCCTTCATCCAAGAATTTTTAAATATGTGAAACATGTGACACACACAGTTGTAATTGGCAGCTCTCTTGGTGCGGTAGATAAAGCCATACATTGGAGGACTGATCTTGGGTAAACCACTTCTCTTGCTACCTTGTGTTTTTCATTGAATTGATAGTATTAATTCATCCTCTCTTCATCATCACTACTATTTATCAAGTACTCACCGAGTGTTTATTTAAAACATTAGTTACCTGTCTTGAGAAGAACAACTCAAAAACTATTGATAGCTGGGTGTGGCTCAAGTGGTAGAGTATAAGCATGAAGCCCTGAGTTACAGCCCTAGTCCACCAAAAAAAAAAAAAAAAAACCAAGCTTTTGATATCCCTGTCATGCTAAAGACTACTGAGTATTTCAGAAAAATAATTAATATATCCATTAATGAATATCTTGTTTTCTTGTTTATAGTTCATAGAATTTTCATAATTCTATTATGAGAAAACATTTTTAATTAAAGCTTTGTTTATTTGGGTTTTTTTGGCAGCACTAAAGTTTGAACTCAGGTCCTCTTGCTTGCTAAGCAGCTGCTCTTGCTGCTTGAGCCACTCCACTAGCTCTTCTTTTTTGATGAGTTTTTTCAAGATAGGGTCTCGAGAACTATTTGCTCAGAGCTGGCTGCAAAATCCTGTCCTAATCTCTGCCTCCTGAGTAGCTAGGATTACAGGCGTGAGCCACTAGAACCCAGCTTAATTTAAGATTTATAATGTGACTATACTAGTGTAGTATAAATTTTGAGTAGTCTTGGTTTCAGCTAACAAATTCAAAAACAGTTTTAAGTATATTTTCTCTGGGGACCAAGAACTAATAGTGACTATAATAAACTATGTAGGTACCAGCCAAGCAAAGATATGCTTACAATTAAAAATGAAATATAAACATGACTCTTTCTACACCTTAGTTTCATTAACTGCAGATGGGAATAACTAACGCATAGGCTTGTTGAAATTAGTAGATTAAATAATGCAAATAAAATAATTTAGAAGTGTTTGGTACAGGTAAACACTTAATTCATGTAACTTGTTATTGTCATATATAGATAGGTAAACCTTAAAATTTACTTTGTTAGTGCATTAGTTCTTTTATTTTGTTGGGCAAATACTTACTGAATACAAACTCCAGTGCCAAAGATACCGCAGTTAAGGCAGACACAGTGCTTTGTACACCATCTTAGGAACTACAAGTCTACCAAAAATTGTAGAAATGCAAAGAATGATAAATGTCATGGGTGTTTAAAAAAGAATGTACAGAATATTGTTCTATTTTTCTAAAGATGCCATTATGGGGTTTTTTTCTTCTCTTAATAGTGCTACTGTAAACAATCTTCAGGCAAAAGTAGATACATTAGAAAAATCAAACACTAAACTGACAGAAGAGGTAAGTGTTTTGGAAATTCCTTAATTGACCTATTACAGTTAATAATGTGCATTAGTAGAAACAATAATTTCTAGTTAACCTTGGAACTGAAGGATTTGGCTTTTTAGATAATACCAACAATTGTATATAACTCCTTGTCCTGACTGACAAGTTGGCTTATCCCAAGTTCTCACTTTCCTAGTTAGACCACACTGGGCATGTTACCTGACTATTCACGTACCTTCTGTTTGGACTAGAGTAAATGTTACCTGACTATTCACGTACCTTCTGTTTGGACTAGAGTAAATATTTAGCATATAGCATGACACTCATAATTTATTCATTGAATAAACATTTTGGCCAGTACCACGAAAAACAAAACCTACAACAATTAACATTTTGGGCACTATGTGTAGAGCTAAAGAAAATTTAATGTGTGCCAGGCATTCATCTATGTGCTCTAGCCTGGCAGACTCTCAGCTATGTTCTTATTTTCTCCTTGGGACAAATAAACAGCACTGATCAGAAGACCTATAATCCCTGCTTACATGTCATGAGACTTATGTGTGCTTCTGACTAAGTAATCACTTGACCTCTAAGAGGCCCAGTTCCCTCACTGGCAGATGAGGATGTTTATCCTTCTTCCCCTTTCAACCTCACAGTTACTCTGAAGATGAGGTAAAAATGTAAATGTGAAAACTCTTAGAAAAGTCCCTAAAATACAAGAGAAAAATAACCTCATGTTTTATGTCTTATTACTAAAAATGACAAATGTTTTGTCCTAACTTGCCAAAGGCTAAGTGTAAGGAAAGTAATTACTAAGCTAACCACCTGTATCTACCTGCACTTAGCAACAAGTACTTTCCTTACACTAAGCTACAGATTTTTTTCTCTCATAGCATTAGATATTTCTATTAAAAATCTTAAAACTATCTAGATCATTCAAAAGTAAACCTTTTCTGTTTCTAATTATACTTGTCCTGTTATATATAGTGAGATAAATTTGGTTAAAATAAAATCACATTAAAGTACTGGTCAAGAATATGCTATGTAATCAGTTTTTCTTCAGAACAAACATTTTTTTTTGATAGACTGGGGTTTGAACTCAGGGCTTCATACTTGCAAATCAGGTACTCTATCACTTAAGCCAATCCCAAAAGTGGTACAAAAGTGATATAATTGTTTGTTTGTTTGTTTGTTTGAGACTTAGTCTGACTATGTAGCCTAGGCTGACCTTGAATCCTCCAAGTGCTGGTATTACAAGTATGTACCACCATGCCTGGCTTCATTATTACAATTTTCAAAAATGCCTTACTTCCTAGCTCTGTGGGCTTCATTTTTGGATAAAGATGCTTAAATTATGTATCTATATATGTATGTGTATATATTGATGTATGTGTGTATATATATATATATATATATATATATATATGTAATTGTATTTATGCAACATATAGTTATATATATAAACCAAAACTTTATGGATACGACCCTTAGAATCTATTTATTTTCCCAGTAGCATTTATTTTTGAAACTTTGAACTTTTAGAAATAGGTAGCACTGTGGGTACTTTACAGAGAGCAAATAAAACTAATCATGAGTGCTTTTTTTCATTTCCAATTTTGGATTTACGGGGACTAGTTAAAAATTAGTAAGTAAATAAATACTTTTCCCTTCTATGGAATGGGGATGTTATATATTATTACATTAAATGTTTGCTTTTAGCAGTGTACTAATAATATGAATTTATCTTTTTTAAGTGTTGATATGAAAAAAGTTTCTTTAATGCTTAGTATAGTATCTTTTAGCATGGGAACTCTGGAGTCCATTTCTTTAATCTTTAAAGAAATCATGTATAAAAGAAGATTTGCAATATGATTCCCATGTCATGAAGTGACTTCTACATTAGTTTACAAATAGATATTCTTACTAAATACGTTTACAAGTTATCCAATTGTTTACAAGGATAAACAATTTATTTAATTGTTTTCTTAATTGTTTAATTACCCTTTGGGCATAGAAAATTTTCCACATAAAAGCATCAACAGAGTCACACATGGTGATGCACATCTATAATCCCTACACTCCAGAGGCTGTGGTGGGAGGATTGAGAGTTTGAAGCCAGCCTGGGTTACATAGCAAGTTCCAGGCCAACTTGAACTACATAGTGAGACCCTGTCTCAAAAAAAATAGCAATAGAAGGTATTTTTTTTAATTTTTGTATTAACCTACATGAAAGATATTTCTCCTAGAATTTTTTTGTTTTGTGACAGGGTCTCACTGCATAGTCCAAACTCACAATCCTCCTGCCTCAGCCTCCTGAGTTCTAGGATTACAAGTATGAACCATCAGGCCCAATTTATAAGGACCTTTTACTGGGTTATAGGTAGCTTCCTTTATTTCCAAGAATATCCAAGACTGAAAATTATGGCCTAGTAGATTATAAATTATTTTATACTAAGTTAATAAAAAAGTAAAAGATTATTTTTGAATTTATCAACAGCTTGCTGTTGCAAACAACAGAATCATTACCTTGCAAGAAGAAATGGAACGAGTTAAAGAAGAAAGTTCTTATATACTGGAATCTAATCGAAAGGTGAATCTTAACCGAATTTATAAAATATTCATAGAGAACACATCAGTGTGTGGGCAGGCATTTGCACTGTTTTTATCTATTCTTCACGCATAACTGAGCTCATGGTGACGGTTACAGGAGGTTATGTCCTTCCCTAGAGCATATGCCTTGGCTTCCTGCCACTTACACATTTCAAGGCTTCAAGAAAGTCTAGTTCAGTCTCTTATTTTTTATGTACTAATGATTTGTACTGCATTCAGCCATTATATTTGTGATGTATACCATTATTTTTATACCTGGCTAGTATTTTTTAAAAGTGACACTTCCCTTCTCTGTTATCACTGGGAAAATGTTACCATATATAAATGAATTTTCTAGGTAATTGTAACCCCTTAAACACTAATTTTTTATACATGTCTATGAGATTATTACAAACCTTTTAATATTGCACAATTCTAAGCCTTTTTGTTTTTGCTTTTGTAAGTCAGTATCTTACTATGTAGCCCAGGCTGGCTTCAAACTTGAGATCTTCCTGCTTCAGCCTCCCTAGTGCTGGAATTACAGACATACGTCACATGCCCAGCATGAAAGTCTTTTAAATTAGAGAACATAATTAACACATTTATCCTTTATGATGACTGAGGATCCTAACCGTCAACATTGTACTAGATTATAGTGGCACTACTTCAGGGAGCTATTCAAATTGATGGATCTTTTATTACTTACACTTAAGTATTTCCAGATTGGTACATGGTTGTGATTGTTTTTTATGATTTCTTTCACTGGTATCCTTTTTTCTTTTGTTCTGTTTTTTTTTTTTTTTTTTTTTGGTGACATCATGGTTTGAACTTAGGGCCTCATCCTTCCTAGGCAAGTGCTCTTCCACTTGAGCCACTCTACCAGCCATGTTTTGTAATGGGTTTTTTTTGAGATTGGTTTGCAAACTATCTCCCCAGGCAGCTTCAAACTGTGATTTGTACCTCCTAACTAAGATTACAGGTGTGAGCCATCAGTTCACTGACATCTTTTATTGCTGGCACTAGTGCTTTTCTTAATCTCTGTCTCTCCAAGCCAGCCTCACTATGTGGCTTAGTTTAACCTCAGCCTCCCAAGTGGTGGAGTTATAGGTGTACACCACCACTTCTAGCCTAGTGTTATTATCTCTAGGAGGCGTCCCCGTTTCTTTTCATTGTCATGTTTTTAATGTACCATGACCTAGGAATCCAACCAGCTATCCACCTATGAAATTTGTTCCTAAAGAGAAGCTAGGCTCTGAATGGGCAAAAACAAAAAGGTTTTCAGGCTGGGTATAGTGGCATACACCAGTAATCCAGCTACATGGGAAAAGGGGATTGAGTGGATCATGGTTAGAAACCAACCCAGGGAGAAAGTTCCTGAGACCCCATCTCAGCCAACAAGCTGGGCATGGTGGGGCACACCTGCCAGCTATGCAGGAGGTATAGGTAAGAGGATTACAGTCTGAGACTGGCCCCAGGCAAAGACTCAAGACCCTAACCAAAAGAGCTACTACAGCTGGGGACCTGGCTCAAGTGGTACATCACCTGCCTAGCAAGTACAAGGCCCTGAGTTCAAACCTCAGTACTGCAATAAAAAAGAGACAGATTGAGAGCAAGTGTTTAACATTAACATGTGGACTTCATGAAAACAACTATGAATGCTCACAAGAATTTTTTTGGGTTTTGGTGGAACTAAGGTTTTAATTCAGGGCTTCAGCTTCTGTACTACTTGTGCCACACCTCAAGTCCATTTAGCTCTGTTTATTTTAAAGATGAATCTCTCGAACTATCTGCCTGGGCTGGCCTCCAACTGCAATCCTCCCAATCTCAGTCCTCCCCAAGTAGCTAGGATTACAGGCCTGAGCTCTGGTGCCCAGCTCAAAAGAATTTTTTTTTTTTTTTTTGTGGTACTGTGGCTTGATCTCAGGGCCTTCAGCCACTTCACCAGCCCTATTTTTGTGATGCCCTATTTTTGTGATGGGTTTTGATAGGGTCTCTCGAACTATTTGCCCAGGCTGGCTTCGAACCACAATCCTCCTGACCTCTGCCTCCTGAGTAGCTAGGATTACAAGTGTGAGCCACCATTGCTCAGCTGAAAAGAATGTTTTGATGGCCTCCTTATTTTTAGCTGTGATCTCCAGATAGTTGAAGGCACCAGTTGTGAGATCTCTGTATAATGAATGTAGTACCATTTAAACCTTTGACTGTCAGTCCTGTTTTTTTGTTTTTTTTTAATTTTTGTTGTCCTGGGGGTACATTGTGGCATTTACAAGAGTTTTTGCAATATATCAAATATATCATAGTTGAATTCACCCCCTCCATCATTCTTCCTTATCCTCCAATATTGTTAATTATAAAGGCTGATTTTTAAAACATGTAGTACTTATTTTTGTACATATACACAATGGAGTATTACTCAGCCTCAAGGAATAATGACATGGGGTTTGAAGGTAAATGGATGCAATTGGAGGACATCATGCTAAGTGAAGTTAGCCAGGATCAGAAACACAGAAGATGCATGTTTTCCCTCATACAGGGAAGACAGATCCAAAGATAAACATATACACAAAAACAAGTATGATCACACACAAACTCAGTTGTAGAACATGTTTGTAACAGTGGAACTTCTCTACAGAACTTGAGGAAAGAAGAAAAGGAAAAGAGAATGACAGAGCAACCATAACATGGCATACCATAAGATGTAAAGTAGAGGATATAAGGATGTGTACTGAAAACTGTTGAAAAACAGGGGGAGGGAGGTAAAGGAGTAAGAGAGATTATTGGAAGGGATTGAACAGACCAAAGTAAAGCACTCCCGCAGTGGGCATGCATTGAGACACCCCTTTGAATGTCAATGTCAAACATTAATAACGAAAATCAGGACTGAAAAATAGGCACAGTGTGTGTGGGTGGGTACTAGTGGGAAGGGGGAGGGTGTAGGAAGGAGATTAAGGTGACAGTATATGGTTGATGGACTTCATATACCTATATGAAACTACTAAATAACCTCTTGCAATTGCTTTAAGTGGGGTAGGGAGGGGGCTAAGGGAGAGAGATGATGGGGGCATGTAAATAATGTACAATATAAGTCTAATCGGAATTGTCACTATGAATCCCCCCTGTATAATGAATATTCCTTAATAAAAATTTTATTAAAAAAAAAAAAAGATTTTAAATAAAGGGGCAGGAAACTCCCAGGTCAGCTTTTCTAGACTTCAGTTTCTTTACTGTGTTCATTCATTGTTATGCCTGCTTAGGTATCATTGTTTTTTCTTCCTAAATAGCAATGCTAGTATCTGCTAATTTGATATAGATTACTTAAATCCCTTAATATGTACTATTTATCTTTTCAAGGGTCCTAAGCAAGACAGAAGTGCAGAAGGCCAAGCACTAAGTGAAGCAAGGAAGCATTTAAAGGAGGAGACACAATTACGATTGGTAAACTTTGCTTAAGTTGTAGTAGCTCAGGAACACATGAAAAGGTAATGGCCTACGTAGAGGTTTTATCTGACAGACCAAGATCAGCAATATCAGTAGTGTTGTGTAACATTTTTATAAATCCTATAAAATTGTCTCTTACTTCTTTAACTTGCACTCCCTATAATGCTTTCTTAATCTTTTTTCTAAATATTCTCAGAAGCAGCAACATTTTGCCAGGTTTTTTTTTTTTGCTTTTATAGTTTGTATTATAGGAACATAAGAAACATTAGGTGTATAAAACCTACTTCTTTATATTATGTAATCCCCACTCCTACCTTAGTCCTAACCTCTGGAAGATTCTGTTATGTCTCCTGGGAAGTGGCAGCTCTTCTCCCCTTACTAAGAATCATAAGCATAGAATTTTACCTTTACTTTTAGCTTTCATTTCTGAATTTGTTCTTTTTTGTTTTTCTTTTGGCGGTACTGGGGTTGAATTCAGGGACTTACGCTCTACCACTTGAGCCATTCCAACAGCCCTTTTTTGTGTTGAGTATTTTTAAGATGGGGTCTCAAACTGTTTGCTTGGGGCTAGCTTTGAACTTCAATCCTCCTGATCTCTGCCTCCCACATAGCTAGCATTATGGTTGTGCACTACTGGCATCCAACCTGAATTTATTCTTGATCTTAGATGTGTGTGGAAAAATGTATCATTCAGTAGTATTATTAAAAATTTTTTTAGAAATTAAAATACATAAATGTATATATGTGAATACATATATATACATATATAAATTTATAAGGAAACTCCTATAATAAGTTTTATCCAGTATTAGTATCTCAGTAACCTATAATATTTGCATATTAACTTGTCTTGAAGTACAGACAATATGACAAACAAAAACCCCTCCATAGTGTCTCTAAGAATGGGGGAAATCCCTCACTATGTGCAATTTAATATACATTAATAAAAACAATGGGGGAAAGTCTGAAAATAAGGGATGACTTAATTTGTACTAATAAGTTATTCCAAATTAACAGAGTATAACAGAACTTCAGGTTTCCTGGAAATACAGCATTGTTACTTTAATAACATTTGCCATTTTAATTTATAAATTAGATCTAATTTATAATTTAGATCTCAAAATAATTTTCTTATGGAGGAATCTAGGAATAACATATGTCAGCATTTTCAGAAGTAGTATGATTCATTTTCTATCATGTTAATCATGTAAAGAAGAAAGTCTCAGTTAAGTGGCATATAATAAAAATCTTAACATTTTTCAGATTATTTTTATCACAGTAAGATAAATGTTAAGAAGGCAAGAAGCTAAGAAAGTAGGCAAGATCCAAGTTATGTCCTGAGCATAGCATGAATGCAAGAGAACCTCAGGTCTTGTATCTTTGTTCATTTGAATAATGTTGCAGTAATAATGGTTGAAACAAAAAAGAGTTTCATTTTAAGTGAATCTAAAATTTCAGTTAGCCATACTGAGAAGTTATCCTAGGGATCCATAGTGTCTTCTGGATTCCTTGGGCTCTTGAATATATCAGTATTCAATTTTAGGATAATTGAAACTGCTTCATTTTGTTACTACTATAATACTTTATGTATGTTTCTGTAACAGGACATGTCAGTTATCAATATCTTTGGACTACCACCTTTTTCAGGTCTATTTGTTATTAAGCAACTGTTATTGTACTTATCCTAATTATTTTTATTATTAGTAATGTCTCTGAAATGAGTGATAGTTTTTGCTCTTTTCCAGAATGTTCAGAACTAAGGGTTTTGATCTACCTTTTTCTCTAAAATTTTGTTTGTACTGTTGAGGAAAGCGTGTAACCAATTTATTTACCTTTGGTGGCAGGATGTTGAAAAAGAACTGGAGATCCAGATCAGTATGAGACAGGAGATGGAACTGGCTATGAAGATGCTGGAAAAGGATGTCTGTGAGAAGCAGGATGCCCTGGTATCTCTGAGGCAGCAGCTGGATGATCTCAGAGCTCTCAAGCATGAACTTGCCTTTAAGCTGCAGGTAAGGGAAATAGGACTAATATACTCACTAGCTCTCTGAAATCCTGGGGCTTCCTTCTTATTCTGTAGAATCACAAATAAGAGTCACATCTTATTTTGAAGCCAACTGCCAGTAAGCCACTTTAAGAATCATATTGTCTTAGAATCCTCTAAAAAAAAAAATCAAGGCCACTTTTGACATTGTAAAGGGAGTTGTAGGTCTTTTATCATCTAAGATTATTTCTACTCTTCAGCCTAACATGTCAGTTAAGTTGCTCATTCCATTAGTTTTTTACTGCAATATGATAAATTAATGAACCTTTTGATATTGTGATAAGGCTGCATATAATTTTAATTTTAACCAATTGCACTTGGGGTTTTCCCATTTGGAAATTAACTGATGTATAAATATATGAGCATTTCTCTTTCTCCATTTCCTATTTACCATTGGCTTAAAACACGTTTCATAAAAATCTTTTACAACTCTTCTGTATGCAGAGTTCAGACTTAGGAGTCAAACAGAAAAGTGAACTTAATAGCCGTTTGGAAGAGAAGACTAATCAGATGGCTGCTACCATTAAACAGCTGGAACAGAGGTAAAAGTGGTATTTCCTTAATGAAACACACTGAGCTGTCAGTGCTAGAACTGAGAAGAATGTGCTGTGTAGTCAACAAATAGAAAATAAATTCACCCAATCCAAATCAGACATGTTGATAGAAAGAAAAGCAGTTAAATGTTATCTGTGTTAGTTATAAGATGTCATTGAAAACATCGTTAAGAATGTCAGCCTGTCCTGACTATTTTGAAATGGGAACCTAACCTATTTCACTGTCATGTGTCAGAAGAAGTATACTTACAAGGATGGGACTGGCAGAGTGGCTCAAGTGTTAGAGTGCCTACCTAGCAAGCATAAGATCCTGAGTTCAAGCTCCAGTACTACCAGAAAATTAAAAAAGCACAGATTCTGGGTGGAGCTTATAGTTCAGTGGTAGAGCACTTGACTAGCATGCATAAGACCCTAGGTTGGTCTTATGCATAAGACCCTAGGTTGGAACCCTGCCCAAAAAGACAAGGCTGGAAGGACTTTTAAATATTTGTAATTGTGTGATTTTTATTTTTCATTACTTTTTTTTTTCATTTATTAAAGTTGCTTTGATTTATCACTCTAGAACAGAGATTGACATACGAAAAGGGACCATGGCAAACATTTTAGGCTTTACATTCACAAATACTCAATCCTGTCATTTTTTTTTTTATTCATTTATTCACATGTGCATACATTGTTTGGGCCATTTCTCCCTGCTGCTCCCCCACCCTCTTCCGTCTCCCTCCCACCTTCCTCGCTTCCAGGCAGAACAGGTTCTACAATTTTGTTGAAGAGAAGATATAAGCAATAATAAGAAAGACAGTGTTTTTGCTAGTTTGAGATAAAGATAGCTTATCATTACTAAAGTCTTTGATACTATGGCGCTGGGTGATGGCTAGGGCTTCTAAAAGGTGCTCTTCAAGGTTCTACTCTGGGTCTTCGTCTCCCTTATTTAAACCCTCTCTCCTTGCCTTCTCCTGAATAGTCGTATACCTCCACTGATACCTGCAATGTGTGTCTCCACTCTTACCTGCATCTGGAGACCAGTCTTGAGTTTTTATCCTCTGATCAGCAACCTCTCACCAGTTCTTTTCTGTCCAAAGAACCTCTTCTCCCTGTGACACTCTCTTGTTTCTCTGTATGTGTGAGATCACCGTATTCTTCCTGGTGACTCAGCAGCCAAGTAGCTGGGACTTCAAGATCGAATATAGTGTGCCACCCAAAATCACTTGATGTTTCCACCTTCCAACACCTACTCATCATCTTTCTTGCACTTAAGCAAAACTAAACTACTGATCCCTAGATAGCTTTCCACTTTTCCCATTCATTACTTTCCTGATAGTTCCACCAGTTAAAAATGCTCTGCTCCTTCTCACTCCCATGTTGTTCAGATACATTTTTACATGTAGGCTCAAATGCCACCCCCACCCCCCAAAAAGCTTCTTCTCCTATCTCTTCCCAGCTAGAAATGATGTCCTTGGAATTCCTATAGCCCTTATGTCCACCTCTTTTTATAACTATAGCACTTCTCACTGTCTGCTTTACCTTATAGTCCCTTATTTTGTACCTTATCTTTCAATGAGAGTATAAGTTCCTTGAGATTAATTAACTAATCTTTTAAGATCCCCATTGGATCTGTCACAGTACCTTGAACATATAAGGGATAAATTCTGTAAATCTGTGACTGAATGGATGAATGGATATCTTCCTTTTTTTAAATTAGGATATATTTGTTAAACATAGGGGATTCATTGTGACAGTTCCAAATAAGCTAATATTGTACATTGGTTAGAGCGCCCCCACCATCTCTTCCCCTCGGCCCCACACCACTTTAAACAGTTTGGAAGAGGTTTCATTATTCTATTTTAGATAGGTATATGAAGTTCATCAATCATATACCCTCACTTTAGTCTCCTTCATTCACCCTCTTCCCTCCCACAAATACCCTACACACACTGTACCAATTTTACAGTCCTGTCTTTTCTTATTAATTTATTTTTTAGCTTTAAATATATTTTACTAGCTTAAATATCATTTTTGTCTATTTAAAGTTTTTTATTGTTGTCTTGGGGTACATTGTGACATTCACAGAAGTGTTTACAGTATATCATAGTTGAATTCACTGCCTCCATCATTCTCCTTTATCCCCTCTCCCCTTCGTTATTAATTTCTAAGTGAATGTTCAAAGGAGTTTCTCAGTTTATACCCACTGTGAGTATACTTAACTCTGGTCTATTCTATCCCTTCCATTACCCTCCCTTACCCCTTCCCTTCCAAGATAACTACCTTTATTCAGGTGATTCTTTAACCAGGGAGGGTCCTGAACATCAAAGTATAGTAATAGCTCAAAAGTTAATGGCACATTTGTAAATGAATGTGAAACTTCTGGTATAGATGATAGGTTATTTACATTGGGAAGAAAGTTACCTAAGTACTTACTTACAAGTAAGTTTATGATTCAACAAATTGACTTTTGGGGGTAAGAAAGTATTAATCATTTTAATGCTCAACATTAAAACAAAATTGTGTTCATAAACTGTGCTTTTGAAATGTATCAGACTTTTCTCAGTGGTTCTGACATGGCATTTAAAGCAAACAGAACTAAAATAATGAACTCTCTCTGAATAGTAAGCTGACTTATTCTCTTGCTTTCTTTGTGTTTCCTATTTATCCATCTTCTCATTCTCCTTTCACTTCATTTTTATTTTTATTTTATTTAGTGAAAAAGATTTGGTGAAACAGGCAAAGACCTTAAATAGTGCAGCAAATAAACTGATCCCAAAACATCATTAGGCATTTTGCAGTTGGTCACCTCCCAAGTCTGATATCACAAGTTAATTGGAAAGGGAAGAAATTCAAAAGTTATTACATTTAAGCTCTGATTCTATATAAAATAACACCAAAAGTTGACTGAGTTTGTTGGACTTAAAATAACAGTTGGATATATAGATTGGGGTTTTTTTCTTATTACTCTCCCAGACTTAGAAAATTTCGTATAAGTTCCTGATTAAATACCAAATCAACTTTGAGAAATTATTTCTGAGCTGACCAATAAATAAAACCTAAATTTTTTAAAGCCTAGGGAATTAAAAATATATATATATATATATATAACTTTACAACGCAGTCCTTGAATAATACCAGATCCTAGGTGTGTTGTTCATGTCTGCATTAGTAAGTCTGTTCTGCCACTGCAGTTTAATGAACTAGAGGTGACTACCATGTGAACGTGGACACTTCTAAAGTAGTTCTGTGACTCTTGGGCCACTACCCCTTTCACTTTCTTTATGTAAGTTTAATCCCCAAGCCAAGTATTTCATTACAGTTCTAAGTAATCAAGATTGCTTGCAATTTTTTTGCCTTTGTGACTGGACAAAAAGAAAAAACAGCATCCTTATATTTCTTTAAAATACTTAGAAGTAAAGTTAGTAACTAGGTAACTTACAGTAACATAATGTGGAAGCTTGAGAAAACCCCTCCTAACGTTTATCATCTTCTACCTCTGCAATTCCACTTCCTAGTTAGGTAGCTCAGAGAAAAGTTTTAGTAAAAATATTCCTCTTCTGCTAAAAAATGCACTATACATTTTTCAGATCTATCCTGCTTTTCCTACCTGAGTAAAGAGGACAAAGTATAGACAAGAGTAAAGATTTTCTGCCTGTTGTTCCTTACCTGGAAACATTTACTTCATGGTTTCTGTTATTTTTTGTTTAAATGGGGATTTGCTAAAAATTCCAGTAAATTCATAATGTACTTATTAGCAAAACATTTCAAAGTAAGAAATAGATGAAAAAATAAACTTCATACTACTTAGTATAAAAACAAGATTCCCAATAGATAGCCACAAACAATATTAGCAGGGCTTCTTTTTCTAAGCTACCACAGATCTAATCCTTTCTAGGCTTTACATTGTAAATAATCCTATAAATGTTTGGATTTAAAAACAAAACTTATGATTTGGGGAGATAGCCTTTCACATAAGCCTTTATTCCTTCAAAAGGTCACGGCAAAATATTTGGTTTTGTTTTCTCTTTTTTTCTCATTCTGATAGGCTTTGCAGCATTTCAGCTGCTGAAGTGGGGACAAAGATACCCCTTTGCTTCCAGCTCTTGAAATTCTTTACCTTCTTCTTGACAAAACCAGAATTAAGAGAATAAAATAGATTTCCCATGTGTTGTATAGGTCCTTACACAGAAGTAAACCAAAATCAAGTCAAAGAGCATGTTAGAACCAACTTCAAGAAGCTCCTGTGCTCCCGACCTTATTTTAGTTCTTATAATTATGCACCTATATAAATAAAGCTCTTACTGCAGCCTTATCTTCATCATCCTTTTGTGGTGATGAGTTGCCTTTCTATATGAGTATTTGGAAGGAATAATCAAATCAGTCAAACTTTATCAAGACTATACATAGCATGCTTCTAAAGTCAATTATATAGAGCCCCAAATGTTTTGCCTTCTAAAACATAATTCTTCAAAGGTGCAGAGTTAAAAGACATTTAGAAGAACGTATCCCTCAAAATCTTCCAAAGATATGTTCAGGAGTCTTACAAGCCCCAGTGCTGAGTTCTCTGTCCACTTGGTCTCACACCACTTGGTAGGAGTAGAAAGGAAGGAGACAGCCAGACTCTGACAAAGGCTTTTCCTTGTATAATAACCTGAATGTTGAGTAAGGGTTGTTGATATATTATGTCCTATGACTTAATATGTGTAGTTTGGAGAAAGGACTAGAAAAATATTATAATTCCACATATAAAAAGGTAGTTGCCCATTGCAAGCTCCAGTTATGTGTGTAAAACAAAAATGTTAAGTACCAAACCTATTAGAAAGTAAAAACAAATGAAAAAGTGGGTTAAATTTAAATTACTGTGTACTTGAGGTTGATTCTGGATATGGATTTTCTAAAAAGTGATGTTTTATTGTTTATCATCTAATGGCTGTAAACTGTAGTACTAGAATAAAAAAAAGTGGAAAATCAGCTTTTCTTCTGCCTGGTTCACCTTCATCTTGCTTTTCTCTAGAATTTGTTGTTCTGTGTCCTCCCCCCCACCCCCAATAATTTCTTCCCCTGTGTGTTGAAAAGTTGTTTTTTGGTTGTCATTGTTGTTTTTTCCCTCTCTGTCTCTCCATACCTTCTTCCTTGGGTTTATTTTGTGTTGTGAACTTGGTCTTCCTCCCCACCATGGCTTTTGTTTTTTATCACAAGTTCATATGGCTCACATCCAGATTGCGCCAGGCTGAGCGAGGCCGCCAGTCTGCTGAGTTGGACAACCGGCTCTTCAAACAGGATTTTGGAGACAAGATCAACAGTCTGCAGCTGGAAGTGGAGGAGCTCACCAGGCAGCGGTGATGAGAGGGCAGCTTGAACTGACAGGGTGGTCATGGGTAATGCCAAGGCTAGACTAATGTTGAAGTGTCTGGACTTACAGCCATCTTGGGTATCTTCCCAAGATCCTGTCTATATCCTTTGTGATAAAAGAATTAAGAATCAGCCAGGCACCAAGTGGCTCACACCTATGATCCTAGCTACTCAGGAGGCAGAGACCAAGAGGATCTTGGTTCAAAGCCAGCCCAGGAAAATAATTCAAGAGATCCTATCTTGAAAATATCCAATACAAAAAAGCGCTGGCAGAATGGCTGAAGTGGTAGAACACCTGCCTAGCAAGCATGAGGCCCTGAGTTCAAACCTCAGTTACTGGCAAAAAAAGAAAAGATTAAGAAATCAGTTGCCAGGCAAGGTGGCATACACCTGTTATCCCAGGACTTTGGGGGACTAAGTCAGGAGAATCCTGAGTTCTAGACCAGTCTGAGTTACACAGCAAGACCCACTCTTAAAAAACAGGTCTGGAGATGTGGCTGAAGTGGTAGAGTGCTTACCTAGCAATTCAAGCCTCAGTACTGCAAAAAAGCCAAAAACAGCAACAAAAAAGAGAAAATTAGAGCCCAAGGTCCCAGATGATGTAGTTATTAATGTCCAGTATAATAAACTAATGATAATAGTTGGTATTTCCTGAATTCTTGTAGTATACCACATACATTACAGGGCCCATCACATACCATCATTCTTAATGTCTTTGCCATTAACCCTGTGAGTAGGTGATACTATTGTCCCTTCTTTCAGATGGAATTAAAGCTTAGAGTATTAAATGTGTCCAAAGTCACAGAATTAAGCTAAGTGTTAACACTATCATTTAAAAGCCTATTTCTCTGATTCTGATCCTTAAGCAGTCTTCCATATTATCTGTCAAATGTAACTCACTTCTGTGCTGAAGTCACTGACTTCAAACAAATTGGATATAAAGCACATAGCTTCTAAGGACACTAGTAGTTGAGGGTATAACTGGGAATTGAGTACATAAGTATAAAAAGAAACCAGCTAATTAATATGGAATGGAATTCTAATGTTCACACTTACATATCTTGCTGAAAATTTATAGATACTCTTTCAGGTTTGGCAAATACTACTAATTGTCATTCTGGTGACCACAACTCTTTATTAAGTTAATATAAAATAATAATGTTCAGAGTGTTGGCCCTGTGACACTGGGTGATCCTAAAGTGCATTAAACATGTTTTGTTTCTTAGCATTATTGGTTTTATTGTATTTTTAGTACTTTACAGCTGGACTTTAAGAAAAGGGTTTGGCGTTCTTTAGAAAATATGAATAGAGAAACAAAATTTTCATCTTTTTTCTCTCACTTGTCCCAGGAACCAGCTTGAGTTAGAATTGAAACAAGAAAAGGAAAAAAGATTACAAAACAACAGGAACATCCCAGGAAAGGGATCCCAAAAGCCACAACTCAAGGTGGTAATGTTTATGATTCTTTTGTCAATTTACTTCCTTTTATTTAAAGTTTTAGAGGACCTAGATTGGCCCACAAGTTTTCTTTCATGGATTATATACTTAGTTGCTGTGGCCTCATGTACAGACAGCAAACTACAGAAGGAGTAAACAGTTGAAAGCTTGATTCAGAGTCTACCTCCAGGACCCACTGTGAATTGATTTCATTTAGAAAGGGCCATTTTAATAATCATAATTTCCTATGACTCTCTTTTCCCTTGCAATTTTTAAGTAAGATTATGGTGGTATTGTAATAAAAATATGTGTTTCTTAGAATTCTAATATACTTTTAATAATATGCTATAGTCCTCCCTAGTCCTGAATTACTCTCTAACACAATTGTTTTTCAAATGTGGATTTCTTTCCTTACACTTTTTTCTAAGCCATGAGATTTCATATTTTTTCAAGAAAAATACATCGTACTTAATTTTCAAATAAAGGACACAAATCAAACTCAGTTTTCAAAAAAAGTGGGTGTGGTCATGTAATTAGCACTCAGATCAAGAAACAGAATATTACCTGACTCCAGAAGATACTTCTCCTTGTATCCCCTAAAGTCATGAGATTTCAGTTTGAATATACTCAAAGAAATTTTTTTCCTTGGCAGTACTGGGATTTGAACTCTGGGTTTCACGCTTGCTGGTGCTCTACTTGAGCCACTCCACAGCCCTATTTTGTGTTGGTTATTTTCAAGATAGGGTCTCACATTGCCAGGTGCCAGTGGCTCATGCCTGTAATCCTAGCTACTCAGGAGGCAGAGATCAGGAGGATCACGGTTCAAACCCAGCCCAGGCAAACAGTTCCATAAGACCCTATCTCAAAAGTCTTCACAAAAAAGGGCTAGTGGAGTAGCTCAAGGTATAGGCCCTGAGTTCAAGTCCCAGTACCAAAAAAAAAAAAAAAAAAGATAAGGTCTCACAAACACTTTTCCTGGACTGACTTCAAACTGTGATCCTTCTGATGATCTCTGCCTCCTGAATAGCTAGGAATACAGGCATGAGCCACCAGCACTTGGCTTCACAGAACATCTTTCTGGAAAGAAAAAGAAGGAACTAAGCTGGAGGAAGGAAGAATAATGGAGAGTGATTTTAAGAACAGAAATCGACATTTCTAACCGGGTGCCTGGTGCCTTACACCTATAATCCTAGCTACTTGCGAGGCTAAGATTGGAAGGATGGTGGTTCAAGGCAAGCCCAGGACCCTATCTTCAAAATGGCCAGAGCAAAGTGGACCAAGGTGGGGCTCCAAGTGGTAGAGTGCCTGCTTTGCAAGTGCAAAGCCCTTAGTTCAAACCCCAGTTCCACCAAAGAAAAAAAAAGAATAGAAATTTCTATGAAACAATCTTGAGAGACCTCTAGCACCTTCGGTGGTGAAGTCTGAAAAGCATGAGATAACTTTTTTCTGTCAAGTACAAACACAGAAGAGCAATTGCCTCTTTTAAGTATATCATATACAGAGCAAAGCATGATGTATTTATAAGCTTACTTTAAATTCCTAGAGAGTACACTGCTAATTTGCTGTAGAGGAAAAAGGAATGGTGAATGTAAATCTGTTATATAGTACCCATTACTATTTAAAATGTGCAAAGAACCACTCCATAGCATAGTCTTCATTATTTCAGTTTAGTGAACATAAAATCTGAAGGTCAGTATACAGAGGTTGAATTCTTAGCCTGTCTTGCTTTATTTTTCCAAAGAGGGTTTAAGTTTTTCAATATTGAGTTGCCCTTGTAATAGGGTTTCTAGGAAGGTAAATATTGCATTAACATGTCTTCCTTAATACTTGAGTGGTCTGGGAACACATATTCCACTTTTGGAGGCAGACAGATAGCAGTTCAAAGCAGGCAGTAGTGTGTATGCATGTGTACCACAGAAAGAGTATAATCCTAAAAAAACTTTCCAGGCAGGGGTTAACAACATTAACAGAAATGCAAGTTGTTGGGGCTGGTGGAGTGGTTCAAGTGGTAGAACACCTGCCTAACAAGTGCAAGAGCCCCTAAGCTCAAACCCTAGTTCTACAAAAAAAAAAAAAAAAAAAAAAAAAGAAAGAAAGAAAAGAAAAAGAAATGGAAGTTGGAACTTTACATTTGTCTTTCAAAGTAGAAAACTTCCTAAATTGTACAGGTTGTAGAAATTATTGTGGCATTGGGACATCTACTTGATTGAGTGTCCAGAGGATTACACAGTCAGTTGGATATGGCCATGTTGATTTTACCAGTCTTTCAGGGCTTTTTTCCTAAAAAAGTAAATGTTACCCTGATTCTACTTTGCAAGTAAATAGGTTACATTCTGAATTTTATTTTAAATTTCAAAAATTTACTCTGAAAATAACTTGTGGAGTAGAAGGAAGCATGCTTGAAACTTAGTGAGATTTTATGTTCACTGAACTAAAATAATGAAGACAGTCTCTAATAGAAAAACAACTCAACTTTTAAACCCAAACTAAGTTATTGCAGAAGAATATATCTACAATAACATTGTTTAGCATCCTGAATAATTAATAAATTGGGGTATTTTCTTTTGGCAGGATGGGAAGCACAAAATTCAAGAAGAAAATGTTAAACAGCCCCTGGAAGAAAGCCACAGGTTTTTGTTAATAAAGTATTAACTAAGCTGTAAAGTCATTGTGGGGCAGTGGGAAAGAGGAAGCTTTTGGTATATATTGGTATTAACACAGACCAGACACTGACTTGCAACATTAATATACCAGAAAGACATTTTGGAGGGCAAGTGAATGAATAATAAACCAGGTAACATGTATTAAACCAAATCTGTTAAACCATTCAGAAGGGATAATCAGGCTTCCTCTGACTCTTCCTCGAGGTTCTTAAATGCAGTTGAGTGTGACTTGCTCCCACTTATGTGCTAAATTTCAAATAAATACTCTCATTCCCTTTATCTCTTATTTCTCCTTTCCTTTGAGGGTCTCAAAGAACTTAACATCATTCCTTTTTCTTAATTCTTCATTCGATCTGTTTACTGTGAGCAACAGGATCATTTTAAGGAATCTGACTTTTAACAGTAATTGTGGCCAGTTAGAAATAAAATATCATGTAATGCCATTGCAATAAAAAATGAAGAGGATGTCTATATGTCATCCTAGAAATGGCAAAACCATGGAGACTAAAAAAATCAGAGGTTTCCAGGGGTTAGAGGCAGGGGGATGAGAGGCAGATCATGGAAGATTTTTAGGACAGTGAAACTACTCCGTGTGATACTATAATGGTGGCTACATGTCATTACACATTTGTCCAAACTCATACCGTGTACATCATTGACACAACAGTGATCCCTAAATTACTGTATGATAATGATGTATCAATATAGATTTATCAGTCGTAACAAATGGATCACTGTGGTGCAGCATGTTGATAATGGGAGAATGCCAGAGGCTGCAGAGGTATATGAGAAATCTGCTTTCTCTTCAGTTTTTCTGCGAACTTAAAAGTGTTCTAAAAAATAAGTAATTTTAAAGGAGGGGATTTGTGATAAGGAAAGATATCATAGAGCAGTTTAGAGAGAACTACACAGGGCCCATTTGGAGCATCTATCCCTGTACAGTCTTTGACACATTAGGCATGAGATAGTGTGTCATCTACTGGGAAGCTGCTGGGGAAGTAAGCACAGTCCAACATTAGGCTGACTGTGTGGGTCTTAGTCTATATCCCTTTTTGCCTCCAAGACCAGAATGATTCCAAAGTCTTTAATTTTGCTCCCAAAAAAACATAGCTGAGTGTGGTGATACATATTTATAATCCTAGCACTCAGGAAGCTCAGGCATGAGTCTGAGTCCAGACTGTGCTATGTAGTGAAACACCGTCTCAAAAAAAAAAAAAAAAATGGACTAATCCAGGACTAACCTTAAACTCTAGTCTATCTAACATTACAGATCCACATAGGCAAAAGGAAGGGAACTAGAAATACTGTAAAATTAACCTTCCAAGTGCCTTTTAGGGTCAGCCAGTCTCTATTAAATGCCAAGTTCTGACTTGGGCCCTAGGAGTAAAAGACAATACTTAACTATCTGTATTGTGCTCTACAGTTTAAAGGTGTTTCACTTTCATTTCTCCTTACAATCTTAATTCTCCTTACAAAAGTATAACCATGGGCTGGAGGCATGGCTCAAGCAGTAGAGTACCTGCCTAGCAAGCACAAAGCTCAAAAACAAAACAAAGATAATCATCTATTCCTACTTTACAGATGAGCAAACTGAGGTGCACAGAGGCTAGGTGACATACCAAAGTGCCTCTAGTTATGGCAACTTCTAGGTCCTATCCCAAGCAGAACTGGAGTCATAGAGTATACTAGGCTTTCTGGGATTGAAGTCCAAGAAACATTCCAAAACATGGTCACTGTGAAATATATGTGTGGTCAAGCTGCCACTCAATTGAAGAGAATAGGAACCATTGTAACCTATGGTACATTTTCACCAAACCAAGATTGGGTTTTGTTTCTTTCCAACTTGGGAAAATCAGGGTTAGCTCTACTTACTCTCATGAAGAATTATTTCAACCTGAATAAATATTCATGTGACAGTAACTCCAAATGTATTTGGAAATGGGAACCATAATGTAGGTCAAGGGTAAAATTTTAGTAATTGATTTAACAGCCATAATTTCCAACAATCTTGGAGGTCAAGACTAATAACAATCTTCCAGCAATATAAAAAAAACTGCAGCATTGCTTGTTTGACAAAGTACTTGTCTTACAAAGATTTAAGATGATATAAATGGAAATACAGTAAATTGTTAGTTGTTACTATTTTTATTTCTCCTTTGTAGGCTGCAGCCTCACCCGACAGATGAACAGGTAACTGAATTTCCTGGGCTTTTTAAAAAAATCATTATTATTTTGGAGGTGCTGGGGTTTGAAGTTAGAGCTGAGCACTTGCAAGGCAGGAGCTATACCACTTGAGCCACACCTCTAGCCCCTGAACCAACTGTTCTAAAATATCATGTATAAATTACTAAGTTGGAGAGGGATAAAGGAGAATGATGGAAAGGGTGAATTCAACTATATTACAAAAACTTTTGTAAATATCACAATGTATTCCCCAGCACAATAACTTTAAAAAGAAAATAAATAAATAAGTTGGCATACTGTGCCTAACCAGTAAATAAGGTAGCATGGGAGGAAGATAACTGAGTATAGTCCTCTGAATAGTGTCCTTTTTTAATAATCTCCTAAACATGTTATGCCTGAAATTCTCACATGCTAGGAAACATAAATGTTTGGCATTTTGATGTAAAGTATTTTCTTGGGGATGAAAAAGAAATATAAAATATACCACAGTCTATTTATAAATGGGAGCCATGTTATAAAGGGTCAGGAAGGTAGCACAGCTTGCAGCAATTTGCTAAGTAAACAACAGTTCTCACTGATGTACTGTGACACTTGTGAGCTCACTTCACCTGTCTTTAGTTTTTCCTTACATAAAATGAAGAGAAAAAAATATTTTGATGAGTTCTGACCATGGATTTTTAAACTTTTGATCCACATAAATGGTTGTTTAAAATGCACTGCAAGTGTAACAGTAAATGCTACTATGGCTGGGTCTGCCCTGTCACAAACCTATTAGGATCTAAAAGGAAGCCTGCTACTTTCCATTCTATGGGACAATTCTGTATGCTTGGATTCTGGCACTAAAGGAAACTAACTGGTTTACTGTGTGGTTTAGGATCAACCATTGCTATCTGAAAATCCACAGGTGTGTCAGCTGTGCCAGGAAGATGGCAGCCTAAAGAAGGTAACTGGTGAGAAAAAGTAGGTTCTTTATAGGGATGTCCACTACACCATTAGAGCCCCTTGGCAATACAACAGCCTTTGCCATGTACAGCACAGATTGTACTCTTACAGTGCCATAGTGGGGTGAAAAGCTAAGGGAGCAAACATTTATCAGGTACCTTCTTTTTCAATTATAGTAATTTGCATCAGAAAATCCCCATTAAAATAAATACCTACATACAGAATGTTTTCAAATACAAACTCAGAGATATATTTCCTGAGTGCCACACTGTGTAGAATATGCCGTTCCATATGCTATAGAAAGAACAATGAACGAAGTAGCCTAAATCTCCATTCTTGACTCAGAAATGTTAAGTACATTTCCCAAAGTTACTGAAGTCAGAAGTGCTAAATGAAGACCAGTTTCCAATCTAACTTTGGCTCCTGTGTTCCTTCCGATACTTCATCCTGCTCAGAACAGAGAAAAATAAACCCTCTCCATTAGACCATTTGTCTTCCCCACAGATCCTCCTCCATGGTCTGTGCACCTTCCTGCCTTATTATTGTAGAAAAGGCAGGTGAAAGAAGCATTCAGAAAGAATGAGTGCCCTTGATAGCTGGTACTGTGTCTTGCTAGTGTCTAATATGGTGCCCATTTCCTAGTAGATGCTCAAGAAATGTACAAATGAGAAAGAGACAAGTGCTTAGAAGAGAGATAGGAAATGTGCCCATGTGTACATCACCATTTTTGATCATGCTGAATTTTGACAAGCAAAATTATATGACCTAGTCTTATTTTAGCAAAATCAGGTAACAGATGAATTACCCTTAAAGAACTGGAAATTGGAAGTGTATTCTAAAAACAGAAGAAACTGCTAATCTAATTCCAGCTTTTCTCTTCTAAACTATGCATTAACTTCAGTATATCAGAGGAAGTCTTTGGCTTTTTTTTTTGAGACCCTGTCTCAAAAAAAAAAAAAAAAAGACCCCTACTTCACTGCACCCAAGGAAGATGAATTGGATTAAAGTAGCATCTCACAGGGGAAATTCTTCTCAGCCATTTTGACCACTGAAGATTTAGAATGTTTGTTTATAAAGATCAGTTTCCCTGTAAACAGGATGCAGTTAGCTGTGCTTCCACTACACTAGTATCTCAAAGGAAGTGCTTGTGGCTCATCACAGGAAAGCATTAAGTACATCAGTGTTTTAGGAGTTATATTTTCAGTTCATACTTAGCAAATGTTCTAGTCCCAGGCTTCACCCAAACCACTGCTGTATCACTGCCTTATTTGGAGTATGTTTAGGTATTTGCAAACTAATTTAGGAACTAGCCCACCTGAGAGTGTGTATAGGGATCAGAAGCATGAAATGTGTAATTTCTGTGTTACCTATTCTTCTGAATTCTATGGCACTCCTGCTTCTCTTCATTTAGATCTAATAACTAGTCAGTTGTGGTGGTGCACACCTGTAATCTCACACTCAGGAGGCCAAGGCAGGAAGACTGCAAGTTTGAAGCCAGCCTGAGCTAAATAGACCTGTCTCAAAAAAACAAAAATTAAGAGCTGGCAAAATTGCAGGTGAGAGCACCTGCTTAGGAAGCTTGAGGCCCCAAGTTCAAACCCCAGTGCTGCCAAAAAAGAAAATATCTGTAACAACTAAGCTCCTTAGTAGAACAGGACTGTTTGTTCAGACACTATCAAACAGTGCTTGATTAGGCATTAAGCATTTATTATATTTGACCTTTTCAATCCCATGCATCTTGTTCTTCTATTCCCCCAACTAACCCCTTCTTTTTCTTATAGAATGTGTGTAAGAACTGCAGAGGAACCTTCTGTAATGCCTGTTCAACAAATGAACTGCCACTTCCTTCCAGTATCAAGCCTGAACGAGTTTGCAATCCCTGTCATAAACAGCTAATGAAGCAATATTCTACCAGCCCGTCATAAAACTGGAGGCCTCAACCTGGACCAGTGTTCACGTGTGGTCAACTCTACCTTTGTTAGATGTCAGGATCCCCTAAAACTCAGTCCTTAAAATGAACTAGAGTTAAAAGGAATGACTTGAGCCGGGTCCAGGGAGAAAAGACAGTGATTGGGGGTGCTGGAAAGCTTGCTCATTTTCCCTAATGACTGTACAAATAAAAGTTACGTGGTGGAACCTTTCTTTTCTAAATATAAACAAGCCCAATTTAAAGGGCTTATTTTATAGCATATTTTTGGAAGGGCTATTTTTACGAATAGTGACAATAATAATAATGGGGTTGATATAATAGGAGAGAATCCAAGCAGTTAAGAATATAAAGAAAGGGACTGAGTATAGTTCAGTGGTACAGCTAGGCCCTACATTCAATTCCCAGCACCACCAAAAAAATGATCATCTCCCTCTATTACATTTGCAGCTTTAAGAAGGGGAAAATAAATATTAAGATAAAATGACAGATGTTACCTATTTTCCCAGGTGCTGCTAAACATAAACTTTGCTCTCCACTCCCACTAACTACCTCTTAAAATATCTCTATCAAACTGTGAATCCAAACTCAGGGAACAAGAGAGTAATATAAATTCTGAATGTACTGAAGACAATATTATATTACAACTTGAGAACCAGAATTTTTTGGTCTTAGTCTACAACTGTTTTCATTGTATCAACAAGTAAGAACATTTGTTGTTTTTCACTTAATGACTTCAGAAGTAAATACCATCCTTTTCAGAATTCCCTACCACAAAATAAGCCATCTCTCATAAGGAGTTTGAAAGATGGGATTTGTCTTTTGCCAATAAGGAAGTATGGACTAAAGCAAAGTAGGGTGTAAGGTTTAGTTTGGTGATGGCTGAGAACAGTTAGCTCAATATTTATTAAATTGTTCCTTTAATAAGGAATTATTTATTCTGAACCAAGGTTTCTTGAAAAGGACAACATCCAAACATCTCTTAGTAACCTGTTTGTGTGGAAAGTGGGGGGGGATGAATTCAGCGAGAAGGAAAAAATGATATATGCTATTTTGATTATATGTATCTAGATTGTTTGATTCCAGTCAAGACCTAAGAAAACAGGATTCTGTGACCAGTTGAGAATTCTAGAGCAGAAGCATGGAACCATGTTAATCGATAAATTCTGTCTCCTAAAAGAGGTTACAGCTTGGGAAAGAGTTGTTTTTCCAGAAGTCTGGCCTACTGGTGAAACTAAAGCTGGTGAAGCTAAGAGTACTAGGGTAAATAAAATTGATAATTGTGGCCTAGTTTATTGTCTTCCTTTCCTTTAAGATTTGTTTTTTTGTGAGCCACCTTTCTCCTTAATTTTTGGTCACCTACCTGAGCCAGCACTGTTACAGGTGCTATATATGAGGGGAGCAAAAATTGACAAAATGGGAATTACCCTAAATGCACAAAAGTTAAAATTCATTTTGAATTTAAATTTAAAAGAGGTACCTCCACAAGGTTAGTGGAATGATTCAAGTGGTAGCCCACTAGCTAAGGCCCTGAGTTCAAACCCCAGTACCACCAAGAGGCAGCTCCATAACACAGAATATAATGAAAATAATTAGCTACTTGAGATTTTACTTAGGATCTCACATAGCTACTTAGCCCTTATTTTTCTGAGCAAAGTCCCAAAGATCTCTGGTTATTACTTGGAGCTCCCCAACTGCATTTAGGTGTATTATTATATATAATCTTCCTAAAAATGTTGCTTCCCACCATTTAAAACAGCATCAACAGGTGAAAAACTTGTATGATAAAAACTAAAAATATAAAATTAAGAGACACCTGGTGTTCACAGACTGGAAACCAATATGACCAGTGTCAATAACCACTCAGCAATCTTCAGAAACTTAGTGGCTCACACCTGTAATACCAGCACTTGGGGAGAGGCAAATTGCAAGTTCAGGCCTAGGATGGCCTACGTACATCCTGTCCCCAAAAAAAATGATCCACAGATTCAATGCAAAATAAAAATATATTCACATACCAACATTTTTGCAGAAATACAAAAAAAAATCTAATACACAGAATCTCAAAGGACTCCCAGTCAACTTTGAAAAAACAACAAAGCTGAAGGTTTGAATACCTACTACAAAACCATAGTAACCAAGTCAGAATGGTACTGGCATATAGACAAACATGAAATAGGATAGAGAACCTAGAAGCAAACCTTCAACTATTACGGTCAACTGATTTTTTTGGCAGGGGAGCATACCTGGGGTTTAAACTCAAGGATTTGAGCTTGCAAAGCTCACTTCCACTCCATTTTAGTCTGGTTATTTTGAAGATAATGGTCTCACAAACTCTGTTCAGGCTCACCTCAAACCACATCCCTTCCAATCTCAGCCTCTCAAGTAGCTAGGATTACAGGCACCCAGCCTCAAAAGATTTCTGACAGGGTACTAAGACCCTGAGTAGGGATGTCTTTTCCAGCAAATCATGTCAGGAAAATGAGATCCACATGCAAAAAAAGATGAAGTCAGAGCCTTATACCAAATACAAAAAATGGCTCAAAAATCTCAGTGTTACAGAATTATGAAACTTAGAATAAAATAGAGGAAAAGCCATCACGTCATTGGATTTGGAGATGATTTCTTGGGTAAGACAGCAAAAGTACAGGCAACAAAAGGAAAAATTAAGTTGAACTTAAATTAAAACTTGTACATCATTAACCCAGGCAGGGTAGTGCAAACCTGCAATCCCAGCACTTGGGAAAAGGAGGCAGAAGGATCAATAGTTCAAGACTGGGCTACACAGCAAGACCCCGTCTCAAACAAAAGACAAAACTTAGCTGGGCAACTGTGGCTCATGCTTGTAATCCTGGCTACTCAGGACACAGATCAGGAGGATCAAGTTTCAAAGCCCAGGGAAATAGTTCACAAGACCCTATCTCGAAAATACCTAACACAAAAAGGGCTGGCGGAGTGGCTCAAAGTGAAGGCCCCAAGTTAAGCCTTGGTACTGCCAAAAAAAAAAAAAACCGTGTATCAGAGACACAATAAGTAGAGTGAAAAGGCAACCTGAAAACCAGAAAATATTCACAAGTTAAATAGCTGATAAAGGATATAAAGAATACATTCTTTAAAGCCAATGAAAAAAATGAGCCAAGTAGTTGAAAAGACATTGTTCACAAGATACACAAATGTCCAATATGCCCATAAAAAGCAGCTCAACATCAGTAATAATCTGCACTTTGCAAATCGAAACCACAATGAAATACCACCTCAGACCTATTAGGATGGGTGCTATCTATCAAAAGATAAAATAATGGACCAGGGATATGGCTCAAGTAGTAGAGTACTTGTCTATCAAGTGCAGGACCCTGAGTTAAGAACCTGCGCCACAAAACTTCTACCTCCTGAGTGCTGTAATTACAGTCATGCACCACAAGTTCCAAAAGTCAAGCAAAATTACCAGCAAAGAATTGAAACCAGGGACTCCTACAGATATTTTCATACTTAGCATTCATAACAGCTAAGTATTGTTTATGAATTGATGGGGAAACAAAATGTATGAATATACAATTGTTACTTAGAGTCAACAAAGGAAATTCTGGCCACATGACAACTTGGATAAACCTTGAGTACGCGGTAAGTGAAGTGAGACAGAGAGGACATCTATTGTCCAATTCCATTTATAGGAAGTACCCAGAGTACTCAAAATTATAAGACAAAGTAGAATGGTGATGGACAAGGGCTTGGGAAGGTGGGAATGAAAAGTTATATGTTTAATGAGTAGTTTCAGTTGGGAAGATGAAATTTTCTGGTGGTGATAGATGAATAATTGTGTGAATGCACTTAATGCCATAGAACTGTACTCCAAAAGTGCTTAAAACAGCACACTGTATGTACATTTTAATAGGTTTTTGGTGGTACTGGAGTTTGAACTCAGGGCCTCATGCTTGCTAAGTAGGCACTCTTATCACTTGAGCCACTTCACCAGCACTGTTTTGTGTTGGGTATTTTTGAGAGGGTCTTTAAACTGTGTGGCCCAGGCTGGCTTCAAGCCACAATCTTCCTGATCTCTGCCACATAATAGCTAGTTTTACAGGCGTGAGCCACCAGCACCCAGTTTAAAACTAGATAAAATTTAAAACTTTGTGCTTTCATACTCAAAACTATAGGTCTACCTAATAGAACCTGACAAATTCCTTAACTGCAGTTTATTGCCAAATAAGATTTTTCAGAGTAGATAAGCAGATGTATGAGATTCATTAAAAGTTGTCATAAAAATGTACTATGAAACTCTCAAAGGGGGTTTAACCATTCTGTGAAATGACTCCAGGTACTCTAGGGAAGGCCTCATTTCACCTTCGCTCACCTAAAAACAGACTGCCCTCTGCAAAAGGACTGTAGTTCAGAAGTATAATGACCCTGTTTTGATTTATAGTACAGCTTCTTTCAAATAACTTAGCATAACATACTCCTGCAGATGTTCTTCCAGTCAAACCCTGATTTTTAAACATTTGCTGGCTTGAGGATTGTCAACTACTGAAGTGTTTTGTTCTCAACATTGCTTGACAGGTTGATTTTGTTAACACACCAATTACCTATGTTTTACTTTTTGCCTATTAGTCAATAAGCCACAAATAAGAAACTAAGTATCCAACAAGCACAATTTCTTGAAATGTTTAAGAGTTTAAAAACGGAATGAGTAAGTGGTTATAAGCATTGCTGAAAATATCAGATCCCAGAGTTAATAATTCAGCATGGTAAAGAGAACTCAGGCTTGCAATGAGAGACAGAGTGAAAAAGCTGCACAAGTCTCCAGGAAGCAGTAATGCCTTACCATTTTGGGTTTCTGTTTTGTGGCTAAAAGTATTTATATTCAATTACACAGTCTATCAAAATAAAACATTCTTATAAATTAGAGCAGGTTAAACATTACTGATACTACCACCTGTATTCCCTAATTTGATTTTAAGAGCAATAGCAATATTAAGAGAAGGTTTACTGGGAGATATGAATTCATCCTCAGTACAGAGAGGGTAGGTTGTCTCAAAGAAGATACCAAGATTTCTTGAGGAGGCAAATTATTGAATGGGACTATAGCCAACTCGTCGGAAATTGTAATTCGGTCTAGTTATTCCCAAAAGGCTACCACTTTCTGTCAAGTAGCAAAAGGAAAAGTTGAGTTGTTTTAGTTCGAACCAGGTATGTTTTGCAACCAGAAATCTTTGTACACTTGAAGTTTGCCTTTGGACTTGAAATTAAGATCTTTGTCCCTCTTCTTCCCTACTTAAGTGCTGGGGATCAAACCCAGGTCCTAGCACATGCTAGTCAAGCTCTCTATCAAATTAAGAGTCTTATCATTTTTATCCTTGTGACCCTCACTAAGTCCATCCATATTCTAGGGTCTACCTTGCTTACATACATCTTGCCTTCTCACCGGGTGCTCTCAAACTTACCACACTGAGATGCCCTAATTCTGACAAAGAAATACAGAAACAGGCTGAGCACTAGAGGCTCACACCTGTAATCCTATATATTCAGGAGGCAGAGATCAGAAGGATCATTGTTCAAAGCCAGCCTGGGCAAATATTTCATGAGACCCTATCTCAAAAATATCAAACACAAAACAGGGCTGGCGGAGTGGCTCAAGTGGGAGAGTGCCTGGCTAGCAAGCATGAGGCCTTGAGTTCAAACCCCAATACTGCCCAAAAAAAGAAAAAAGTTAAAAAAAAATAATAAACCAGAAACAAACCATAAAAAGGAGACAGAAGAATATAGTCCTATGCCTGGTGTGGCAGCACATGCTGAAATCCCAGCACCCAGGGTGAAGTAGAATCACGAGATTTAAGACTAGTCTGTATTACACAGTGAGATTGTCTCAAAAAAACATTGTCATGTAACTATTTCTGCCATGATTATCAAAAAGAACTGGTAATAATATTTAAAGGTCACTGCAGGAATAAAGTTGCCAGGCGCCGGTGGCTCACGCCTATTAATCCTAGCTACTTTGGCAGGCTGATTGGATTTTGGTTGGAGGCCACTTGCACAAAAAGTTCATGTGACCCCCATCTCCAAAATAACCAGAACAATGTAGTAGAGCACCTGCTTTGCAAGCGCGAAGTCCTGAGTTCAAACCCCAATCCTCCAAAAGGAGTAAGTCTTCCGCAAAATAAAAGTAACCAGACACCTCCACAAAATTCAAATAGTGGAAACTTACAGATTGGTCTTATTGCTTCAAGAAGTTGGAAAAAAGTACGTATGTGGGGAAACCTATCAAAATGGGTATTTCAAGTTCACCAAAGGTATTTGAACTACCAATAAGGTTATGTGAAGGGGCTCAATATCAACTGTCAGAGAAAGCAAATTAAAAACTACAAGATATTGCTTATACACAACAGCTGAAATTACAGACACCACCAAATAGGGTGCAGACCTTCCTGGAACTCTGGGAATGTAAAATAAGATGTCCACTTTGGAAAAAGGTATGCCAACTTCTAATAAAATTTAAAATACATTAATCTTACAATTCAGTATGTTTTGCTATTTACCCAAAAGAAATTAAAATGTTAGTGCGTAAGAAGACTTGCACAAGATGTTCATAGCAACTTTATTCACAATAAGCAATAGCCCATTATCCATCAATTGTTCACTTAATAGGTAAAAGGAAAAACCATGGCATACTCATACACTGTAATACTATTCTATGATGAAAGGGAATAAAGCTGAGACAGTGGATGAATGTCAAAGCATGCTAAGTCAAAAAAACATACAGAAAAATACAGACTGATTCTATTTATATTAAGTTCTAGAATGGGCAAAACAATTCTACAGTCAACAAAATCCTAAGTGGTTTCCTGCTAGGGAGCGGGAGAAGGGAAGGAAAAATGCAGGAATTGACTAGGTAAGACAATTTCTGACATGATAGAAATGATTCATACCTCCCAGGAGTTTGGGTAACACAGCTGTTAACATCAACCTCATCAAATGGTACATTAACATTTGCCTTAATGTAAATTTTCCTTCCAGAAAAATGACATGTGTACTATAAAGCTTAAGAATCAAGTATACATGTCTACATCCTTGACATGGATAAAGACAGATTGATGGGTGAACAGATACATGATAGCATATGGCAAAATATTACTTGAAGAATCTAATGGATGAGTAAAAAAGTATTTTATATATGCTTTAAATTTTTTATTAAAAACGTATATTGCAGGGGGAAAATAAGCATAGTACCCAATTGCAATGTAAGGACTGTTTAGATTTTGATTCAAAGAAACACTTTTTAAATTGACAATTCAGATACTTACTAGATAACTGGTCCTAAGAAGTATTTTCAGGAAACGATGCTTCAAAAATTTTTGTTGTTCTCTTCCTAAAAAAAAATTTTTAAGATGCATACTGAAATAGTTACAGATGAAATGATGTTGTTTAGGATTTGCTTTAAAATTAATGGGAAGAAAGAAAATGAGAAACAGGTGTGGTAGCTACTTGAGAGGATGAGACAGGACAATCAGTTAAGCCCAGGAAGTTGGAGTCACCTAGGGGAGAAAGTGAGACATGATCCTGTTTTTTTTTTTTTTTTTTGTATTCAGATAGGGTCTTGGTAGCCAAGGCTGGACTCAAATTCATGGCCGGAGCCTCCCAACTACTGGGATTACAGTTAAGTGTCACCATACCTGACAGAGACCTTTTTTTTGGTGGCACTGGGATTTAAACTCAGGGCTTTGCACTTTGCTAGGCTGGCACTCTACTTTTGAGCCAAGCCCCCAGATGAAACCCCATCTCTTTAGGAAAAAAAGGGTTTTGGTGGGAGGGGAGTGATAAAGGAGAATGATGGAGGAGGTGAAGCTAAGATACACTGTAAGCACTATTACACATGCAACAAAGCTAATCATGAAATGGTAACTGCTGACAATTAGACGTTAGGTTGATTACGCTGTTCTACTTTTGTATAATAAAGTTTTTAAGGAAAAAGAAAAATGAGAAGAGGATATTAACAGTTCACAAAAAAATAAATCCTAGTTTTTAAATATGAAGAAATGCTCTGGAGCAGGTACTGTCTGCTGCTGTCTCCACTACAGATGCAAGAAAAGTGTCCTTGCATTTTCTGATTGTGGCAGCCAAGATTGAGTAGAGGAATACAGGTGGAGAAAAAATGAAGAAATACTACCTCATAAGAGAGTTAAATTGTTTTTTGGTAATTTTTTAACTTGTCATATTGGCAAACAGATTATTAGTACAGTGTTGGTGAGCTATGGGGGAAATGGGTGCCTATAGAGCTGGTGCAAACTATGAAATAACATTTTTAGATAAAAATTTAATTTTAGATATAAATTACAAGTGCACACAATCTTGCCATTTATCCCACAAAATTTATGTATATACAAAATGATGTATGTTTATACAAGGTAATTAATTTCAGCATTATAATAGCAAGAGTGAAAGCAATTTATATATTCACCAGTATGGGACAATTTGTACTACATATATCCATACAATCATTAAAAGAGAATGAGGATTTCATATACCAATACAAAATTTTTATGTTTATGTTAAGTGGGAAAAAAAATGCAGATTAGTCAGTACAAAATACTGTAATTTATATTTTAAAAGGAAATGGAAATTCTATTTTTTACATACACAGTAAAAATCACTATAGGTTTACCTTCCAAACTGATGACAGAGCTGAGAAGGGAAACTAAGTAGCTGAAATATCGAGTGCTCACCATATACCCTCTGCATCTCTTTATTTCCTTCAAAAAATATAAATAATTTTAAAGTAGTCCACTATTTTTTATTTTCACATCAAAACTAAAGACAGAATGTCCCCTTTCTAAGTCAGTAGGTAAACTAATCAACTAAAAAATCTGGCAAAAGATCTAAACAAACACTTCAGTGAAGATGATATACAAATGGCAGCCAAGTATATGAAAAGGTACTTTAATTCATCATTATGGAACTGCAAATTAAAACTGAGATACTATTACACCCTTATTTGAACAGGTGACATCCAAAAACACGGTTATCACCAAATGCTGGTTAGAACAAGGAGCAAAAAGGAACTCTCATTCATTACTGGTGGGAATGAAAAATTCTACAGCCACTTTAGAAGATGGTTTAATGGTTTCTGACCAAACTAAACATACGCTTTACCATACAACTCAGCAATCATTCTACTTGGCATTTACCCAAAGAGTTGAAAAATGTCCACACAAAAAAACTGCACACAAATGTTTATAGCAGCTTTATTTCCCTTTTAGAGATTCTAATCTGCTACACTCAGAGGTGGGGGGGTGCATTTCTATTACATTGCAGCACTCGTCAAAACCCTGGAACATGGACCTGCCTCTGCTACTAAGGTAGACCATTCTATTTTGGTCCCTCCCACATAACTTATGGGAAGTTCTCAGAATGGAGTGTTTTAAATTATAGATGAAAACAAATATAACCCAGAAGGAAAAAAAAATCTCCAAATAAAATCAAAGACTGTTTAGGGAAGAGGATACTAATAGGGCATGCTTACTAATAAGCAGGGTTATTGCACATGTCAACCTTGTTGAAGAAGCTCTCTTTAGCTTCTTCCTCCCAACAGTGTAGATGTAGTAAGAAGGATTTAGAGCCTTCTAACCACAATAGATTTAGTCTCCCTTCCCACATGGCAGAAGTTTCAGCTGCCCAGACCCAAAGGGCACAATCCTCTAGCTCTGCTTCATTCTCAAGTATAAATGAGTATATAATATCAGATCACAATCTTGAGGAATTTTCTCTTTCATATTTACATACTTCTTCTCCCTTGCAGTTCTGCTAGGCCAAAAAAGAATACTGGTATGCTGGCCACATACTCCGATCCCAATGTTCTTTTTAATAACTTTTCAACAATTATAAAAACATAAGGACTCCAAATAGAAGGGGGAAATTTGCTATCATTGCTTCCTCTAATAGCAAATCATGGTGTACAACACAGTTTCAGCGAATGTTGGGAGATGGAAATGTCTTTTGATTCATACAAATAAAAAATTACTTTTACTCCATTATGTGGTTCTCTCCCATTAACTACATTTGCCTTATCAGCAATCACTTGTTTCAATAGCCTAAATCATAAATAAAAGTGAGATTTCATATGAAAACTTTCCAATAATGCCTTGAGTGAGGCAAGAAGATACAGCACTTCAAGCTTATCCATCACACAGCATTTTAATGCTTTTGCTCCCATACTTCCCAGATGTGCAAATGAAACTCATTAGCTAAAAATAAAGTAATTGCAAATGATTCTCTACCAACCCCAATCCCAACAGAGCAACAGATCTTTTCCACAGCAAATCAGATACCAACTGTGAAATGGAGAAAAAAAGATCCCACTCTAATAGATCACATAACTCTGAACACCATTTCTCATAAATTGACACATTCAACCATACATGAAACATTTCCATCTAAGTAGTACAACTATTACATTGGTTGACTAAGACACATTCTTATAGGATGATTTTTTTAAAAAACACAACTAAAAATTAACCATTTCTTCTCATGTTAATATATTAGGACTTGAAGTAATAAAAAATATATTCAGCTTACTCACACATTCCAATAATAAATACTCTTAGGTAATCTGTAGCCTGAAACAAGCCTTCATTTATTGACTACTTACAGTACCATGATTTCATATCTTAGCTGGTAATCAAAGATGGTTATATATTAAGTGAGAGAAAATATAATCTCTCTTCCAGGTATCACCTCTCCGAAATATCAGAAAATTCAGTATCAAGAACTAGAATTGCATCTCCTGATGGCATCTATCACCCTGAGAACAGGAACAAGGCAAAGAAAGTATACAGGACTTTGATTCTCCTACACAAGTACACATAAAGTTAAGTTTATTAATGACTACATTTTGAAGCCAGCCACTTTGTCCAATATTTAAATAACAAGCTGCTTAATGCTAAAGCAGAAGATACTGCCACAATGTGAAAGTACAGCTTTATCCATAAACCCTTCACACAGTTATACATTAAATGTTGTTTTTTATTTAAGCAAGGCACCCCTACTTGTTCTAAAATATGGGATGTGCTACCCCACTGAAAAAGCAAATGAAGAGATTTAGATTTTTTCCTATCTGAGCTGGTTTAAATTCAAGTGAAGCCATTAATGTCCTTGCTAGGTTGGACTACTCTGACGTAACACTTTACAATTTCAAGACTAACAACCACTGTTAAGGTTTACCCAAAACCAAAAAAAAAAAAAAAAGCAGGAGAAGGGAAGACTCAAGACACTTTTGAGACTAGACCTCCCCCTTAAGTACACAGGCACCAATGTTAAATGCCTTTAGCATAGGGCTTAGAAAGGCAAAACATTTCTAAATAATAAAACTGCCAAGTTGTTATCATTTATACTCACTAACCTGTGGTGTTTTTGTTTTTAAATCCCTACCCCTATCTAAGTAATCAAATACAGCTAAAATTAAAAGTATTGTGCCAAACCATATTGATTTAAAATCTGAAAGCTTCCCTTGCTTTGGTGAATTTTTAGTTAAAATAAATCATTACTTTACTCCAGAAGTTTGACATCAAAACTCTCAATTCATAAGCAGAAAAACAAAGCTTTTGAACAGATTACTTTTAAAATGGGAAACAGATTTGAAATAATAGTGCTGAGTAAAAATATGCAGAATTTGCAATTGGTAACAAATTCTCTATGAAAAGAAACTGTTTAAGTTATATAAAATAAAGAACAGAGTTTCTAAATTAGACCCTGGACAGTTTAAACAAAAATTTAAATTTGTGGTTTATTTCATAATCCCAAGCTGAGTATCTTTATAAACAATCCACCATGAATTTTTCTTAGAAGCAATTAATCTAAAACCCCCAAATCTTTTCCCTAGCAATTGCTACCAATAAACTGGAACTTTATATCCCATGTCCAAGAAAGATGTGCAAATGAAATGCTTCTTGCTTCATCCTGAAAAATCAAACAAAAACTATTACACATTTACTTAAAATGAAAATGTTCAGACATGTTCCCATACCATTTCAAATTACTAATTAAGCTGGGTTTTTTTCCCTTTCTAATTTAGTATAAGTTATCTGACAAATCAGTTAATTTAAGGTAAGGGAAATTAGTTGGGGATTCTTATATATAGCCTGGTACGAAGAGAGATTTCCAGAACAAAGCATAGAATATATTTTACACAGAATTGAGCTAATATAAATGTTGAACATCATGAGACTGTGGGGCTCTATATCCAAAATTAGCCGATGACAGCAACAGAAATAGAATATCCCATGTTATTAAAAAAAAACTCATTATTGCTAAGTTTCTCAAAAGAAGGCATCACCACTTGTAAAAAAATGATTTTAATACAATACATTAAAATATTTTATACACCATTTAGTCAAAAGAAGGGACATCAAGACATATTTACCAAATATGTCCTCAGTAAATAAACACTATGAACCCATATGTTTCCTAAGACAAAAACTTACTTTCATGAAACCATTTCAGAAAACGGTAACAATGACAAACTAACTGTGACCATAAATGATATTCCTGGTTTCAAATGTAACATCTTTTAAACATCTGAGGAAATGTGTTTAAATTTTAGTGGGAAGAAACTTTAATGTAAGGGCTGGAGGTTTTGCGCAAGGAGCTGAGCACTTGCCAAGCAAGTTAAAACCCCAATACTGCCAAAAAAAAACAAATTTCTTTAAAAAAAAAAACAACTAATGCAAGATACATTTTCTGTGTATTATTATTTACAACTACTAAAAATAGCTACACAATTATTTTTGGGCACACAGGATGATGAATATGGGGAATTCTGTAAAAAAAATTCCATAAAGGGATAATGCTCAAAGCCACTATGTGATTACAATGAATATTATTTCCCAGGAGAATTCTTATTCTTCAAATTGATGTTCCAATCATTAGTTTGATCTTTATTAAAAAGAAAATTGTTTCTACCACATTGCAAGTTAGTGAGTTGAAAATAATTATTTACTGAAAATAATTTACAGTTGGGTGCCAGTGGCTCATACCTGTAATCCTAACTACTCAGGAGGCAGAGATCAGGAAGATCATGATTTGAAGCCAGCCTTGCAAATAGCTCCCAAGACCCTATCTCAAAAAACTGGTCACCAAAAAAAAAGGACTGGTAGAGCGGCTCAAGGTGCAGGCCCCAAGTTCAAACTCCAGTACCACAAAACAAAAGAAAGAAAATCATTTCCACAGTAGTAACTCTTAAATTTACCTTATTTTCTGTAGTCCAGGGAAGTCTTATTTTCCTTTTGGACATGAATTTAGGAACAGCTCAATATACCTATGCTCTGAAAACAATTGAAAAAATAAAATAAAAATTAGCCGGGTGCAGGTGGCTCACGCCTACAATCCTAGCTACCCAGGAGGTAGAGATCAGGAAGATTGTGGTTTGAAGCCACCCCAGGCAAACAGTTCGAGAGGTACTATCTTGAAAAATTCCCAACTAACAAAAAAAAAAAAAGGCTGGCAGAATGACTCATATTAGAGCACCTGCCTAGCAAGCATGATGCCCTGAGTTCAAAACAAGTACCACCAAAAAAACGTTTTGAAAAAGCAGGAAAAATATTGAAGCTAATTTTCTTATAGTTCAGTCAGAAATCAAATCCTTCACCTTTGCCCTAATTAAAAATAAAAATAAGCGGGATCACACCTATAATCCTAGCTACTTGGGAGACAGAGATCAGAAAGGTCTCAGTTCAAGGCCAGAATGGACCAAAAGTTAGCAAAACCACCATCTCAATCAATAGGTGGCACTCACCTATCATGCAAGAAACACGTGGACCAAGGTGTAGGTCAGCCCAGGAATAAACAGGAAGGAGACCCTATCTCAAAAACAACCAAAGCAAAAAGTACTGGGGGCATGGCTCATGTGGTTGGGCAAGGCCTAGCAAAGTCAAGGCCATATTTAAATTTCAATACCACCAGACTAAAAAAGCCAAAGCCTAGTGTAGTGGTACACACCTATAGTCTCAGATCCCAGAGGCTGAGACAGGAAGATCATTTGAGCTCCCTGAATTCAAGACCAGCTGGAATGACATACCAAGATTCCATCTGAAAAATAAATTGGGCTGGGGCATGGCTCATGTAGTAGAGCACCTATCTAGCAAGTGTGAGGCTGAGTTCAAAACCCAGAATCACAAAAAGATAAAAATAAAAAATAGCCAGGCACCAGTGGCTCATGGCTGTAATCCCAGCAACTTGGGAGGCTGAGGATCGAGTTCAAGGTCAGCCCAGTCAAATGGTTCTTGAGACCCCCATCTCCAAAATAACCAGAACAAAATGGACTTGGAGGAGTGACTCAAGTGGAAGAACATCTGCTTTGCAAGTACAAACTCCAGCCCAGCCATAAATAAATAAATATAAAAAATAAACAAACAAAAACAAGTAAACCAGAGCCTGAATGAGCCAGGTACCAGTGGCTCACACCTATAATCCTAGCTATTCAGAAGGCAGAGATCAGGAGGATTATAGTTCAAAGCCAACCCAGGCAAATGGTTTATAAGACCTTATCTTGAAAATAACACAAAAAAGGGCTGTCAGAGTGGCTCAAGTGGTAGCGCACTTGCCTAGCAAGCATGAGACTGAGAGCCTGACTTTGGATAGAAACATACAAGATAATTAACAGACCAAAAATAAAAAAGTATTTTTCATTATAATAGTATTTAATCCTTTACATTTAATTTAGTAGTACTAGAAAAGTACAATAATTTTTCCAAGGATAATTTTTAGGCCAATCCCAGGACAGAGGAAGACACTTGTGAGCAAAGATAAGCATCAAAGTCAAAGAAAAAACACTGGGTGGTACTTACGAACATGGGACCGATCCTTGAGCATTGCTGCAACAGCATCCTCATGGGTATCAAAGTGCACATCTGCTTCTCCAGTGGCCTTCCCACTGGAGCTGTATTCCATAGTGATTCTCACAGGCTTCAGTGGAGCAAAGAACTAAACAAAGACAACCAAAAGGAACATTAACTGAAGCAGGCCCAATTCTACAACTCTAGTGGCTCTGCATTTTTCTTTCAGACTTTTCATATACCTAATAAGTTTTTGTTTTGCTTTGGTGGCACTGGGGTTTGAACTAAGGGCTTCTCTCTTACAAGGCAGGTACTCTACTGCTGAGCCACACCCTCCAAGCCTGGCTTTTACTTTTGAGTCAGGGTTTCATCATGTAGCTCAGGTTGACCTCAAACTCATCTTCCTGCCTCAGCTCAAAAGTGCTGGGATTCCACTAATATATTTGTTTTCAGAAAATTAACTCTTTAAAGAACCAAGTATCTACAGATCTACCATCTCTTCTGGCTTTTCTGATTTTTCTTAGACTTAAGGGTACATTTCAGGTATCTATTGCCAAAAGAACCAAAACCTACAAATAGAAGGCTCCCTCACAGTTTTTAAAACTACTAGGGACCATTTTTATTATTCCTCCCTCACACATCTTTATGTGCTTCTAAAGAAAGTACACCAAATATACCTCATTTCTTAGTAATTCATTTCTTATACATATCCCTGATCATCAGATTCTTATTAGCACACACTGAGTGGTTATTACTCTAAAATAAAGCAAAAGAACAATGCTTTAATGAAAATGTACAGTCTTCATACAGGCATGATAAAGCATGTCTATAATCTCAGCTACTCAGAAGGAACAAGTAGGAAGATGGAGTAGGAAGATGGAGAGTTTGAGGTCGATCTGTGCAACATAGTGGGTTCAAGGCCAGACTGGGTAAAGTTAGCAAGACTCTATCTCAAAACAAAACAAAAAACGGTTTGGGGGATAAGGCTCAAGTGCTAGAGCACTTGTCTAGGATGCTCAAGACCCTGCGTTCAATCTTCAGCCAAATAATAAAGATATGATTTTTAATAGATTCCTTGAAATAATGATGACAGCTCTGAGGCTTCATGTAGCAGTACCTAAAGATTCTAAGTTTGGATCTATCATTTGTTTATGTTCTGAAGTTCACAAAGAAGTTTCCTTTGTTGCTTTATTTTATTAATTTCATAGAGAATCCATTAAAACATAAAAATGTAGCCAGATGTGGTGGCACACCTATAACCTTAGCAACGTGAGAGGCCAAGAAGAGAAGAGAAGCCAGAGTGGGCTACATATCAAGATTCTAGCCTGTGGCTCATGCCTATAATTCTAGCTAATTGGGAGGACTGAGGTTTGCAATACCCCCATCTCCAAAATAACCAGAGCAAGATGGGCTAGACATGTGCCTCGAGGTAAAGCACCTGCTTTGCAAGCATGAAGTCCTCAGTCAAACCTCAGTCCCAACAACAACAACAAAAAGCAAGATTCTATCTCAAAAACAAAACAGAGAAATGTATTTTAAATTCATTTTCTCAAAAATTAGGGAATCCTGGGTCGGGTGTGGCAGCACGTACCCAAATTTCCAACACTCATGAGTTTGAGGCCAGCCTGGGATACATTAAAAAAATAAGTAAGTAAGCAGCTATATGATGTTTAATGATAACTCTAGGCATTCTGAAGTCCTGGTTTCTTATTTAATAGTTTCTATATGCCTTGATGGTTTCAGTTATGATTTTTTGGGGGGAGTACTAGAAACTGAACCCAGGCTTGTATGCTAACCAAGCACTCTACTACTGAGCCACAACTCCAGCCCTTTCTACATTTTTCTTTTTATTCGTTTTTGGCAGCTCTGGGGTTTGAATTTAGGGCCTTACATTTACTAGCTCTTGAGTAACACTCCCAGACCTTTTTGCTTTCAGGCAGGATCTATCAATGTTAACCTGGGCCAGCCTGGACTGCCACCCTTCTACTTAGGCCTCCTGTATAACTGGGCGAACAGGCACATACTACCATGTCCAAATTTTCTGCTGTTGTTGAGATGGGATCTTGCTAACTTTTTGCCCAGGCTGGCTTCAAACCACAATCCTCCAATCTCTCCTCCTGAATAGCTGAAATAACAGTAAGCCACCACATCTGGCTAAATCTTTATTTTCAGACATGGTCTAGCTAAGTTGCCCGGGCTGGGCTTGAACTTGCAATCCTCCTACTTCAGCCTCTTGAGTAACTGGGATTATAAGCATGCACCACTACACCTGATTCCAGTTACAACTTTTGAACTTCACAATGGTATAAAAGTGATCCAAATTTAATAAAAATCAAAAGTGAATTTTGAATTTTTATCTTTTCCCTAGATAGTGATATACAATAAAATATTCTGTTGTGATGCTACACAGTAACAGTAAGTCATAGCTCCCAGTCAACCACAAGATCACAGAGACAACCAACCAATATTGGACAGTATTCTGTGCTGCTAAGCTATGATGAGATTATCAGGACATAACCCCCTTTAAATCAAGCAGTTTATTACTGCTCTGTGGCCAAATGCCTGCGTCTCAGTTTCCTTTTTGGGGGGCATATATTCAACTGCACATAGTAATGGGTTTCATAATAACATTTCCATACCTTAGTTTCCTAAACTAAAAAATAATGGGTTGAAGGCCAGGCATGGTGGCATGGGCCTGTAATTCCAGCACTGAGGAGGCTGAAACAGGAGCATTGTGAGTTCAAGTCCAACCTGGGATAGACAGCAAGATTCTATCTCAAAAAACCAAAAAAAGGGTTGAACCAATTTATTCAAAAACCAAGCTCTCTCCCTGATTACTAAACCTACACCATATTATTTTGCATTCATAAGATCCTCTTATCATTTTTCACCTTTTTTTTTGAGGGGGGGGCAGTATTGAGGTTTGAACTCAGGGCCTCATGCTTGCTAGGCAGGCACTCTACTCCACCAGCCAAATTTCACTTTAAAGTGTAATAAAAAGCCACACTTTAAGTGATAGTGTCTCACTGTATTGCCCAAGCTGGGTTTGAACTCCTGTATTCAAGCAATCTCCTGCCTCAGCCTCTCAGTAGCTGGTAGCTGGGACTAGAGGTACACATTTCTGAGCCTACCTATGTCACACTTTTCAGCTACAGAAAATAAAACAAGTCTCTACTACAAAGGAAATGTTCTCTCAGTGTCAGAAGACACTAGAAATAATGCTTTTCTTTCTCTACCTTCTCCAAACTAACATTAAGTTAAATTTTAAAATTTCTGTTCAGTCTTTTGAGATTGGATAGCTTACTGCCACATACATTTATAATGTCCTGGGCATTGGCTTGGAAAGGTAATCCTCTCATGTGGACAAAATGCAGTGAAGGCGTAGTTCCAAAATCAACAGTCTCTGGAAGCTTTTCTGACATCTCCTTAGGCAATTCTGAAAGGCAGAACAAAAACACTGTCAAGGACATAGAAACTTTAAAAAAGGTATTAACAGATTATAACTACATATAACATTTAGGTCAAAATCCTCAATTCATCTTGAACCAGTAAGAAAGGGCTTTATAGCTAAAATGATCTGCAATTTCTCCTGCTTATGCCTCAAACTATTACAATATTAAGACCTTCTTTTTTGTAACAACAGAGAAAGGGTAAAATGGCCATGAATTAAAGTGTAAAGCAAGAGAAACTTTCTAAGTTATAGGTATAAAAAAGAAGGGATAAGCCCAGGGCACCAGTTTAAAGAAGTATTTACCAAATTTCAAAGATCTCAAATGTTGCTTTTGAGGTAGGAATCAAAGAAATAATTACATACAAAGGCAAGCACAAATCTTTAGTCAATATTCCTGCTCTCTACCCATCTTTCCCCACTTTAAATACTGACATTTTACTTCCTTTTATTACATTTTTACTACTCACCTTTTGAAGTAAAGAGTGTACATAAATATTAAGTTAAAAATCTAACAAAATAGCCAGGCACCAGTGGCTCACACCTATAATCTTAGCTACTCAGGAGGCAGAGATCAGGAGAATCACAGTTAGAAGCCAGCCCAGGCAAATAGTTTTTCAAGATAGGGTCTTGAAAACCCATCACAAAAAAGAGCTTGGTGGAGTGGCTCAAGGTGTAGACCCTGAGTTTAAACCCCAGTACTGCCCCCGACTAAAAAAAAAAAAAACAAAAAAAACCTAACAAAATAATTAGGCCCTAATGTATTCAGAATACATTCTACACTCAGACATGAAATCTTTAATCCTATTCCCTTGTCCTATAATCACAATTTCATACAAGGCTGTTAATAAAAAAAAGGTTAACAAAACCAAAACACAACATAGACCCAATGAATATGCAGAAGCAGCAGGATCTTACCTATCTCCTTCTCACTTTCAAAAGCTGTCATGGGTCGAATATCCTCATTTACTTCATGTTCTTCAAATACCATCTCTGGCTCAGTTATATACTTAGCAGTAGGAGAAGATGCCATTTTCTTTCCCTTGTGAGTGCCAACATGTGTTCGAACTTCATTCCTTCTACTTGGAAAGATCTCTATGTATCTGTCAAAGCAAAAATGAATAAGCAGTAACAGTTAACTTTATACTTGACTCTTAAAATAAGCAGATATATACTCTATTTCCATAGCTTATTAAATATGGATGTCCAATGATAACAGGTAGGGGGAAAACTAACAATGGATAAAGCTATTAGTCCATGAAAAAAAGTTCTCAACAGAATACACCAATGAATTAAGTCTTTTGTCTTCCAAGACTTTTGCCCCAAGATAACAGTTTTTTTCACATGCATTTATTTCAATAGCATTTTCAACAGCATGAGAACAACTATACTAAGGTTAACTGTGTATACAGAAAACATTCTGGTAAGACAGTTGCTATGCTATTTGTCTTCAGGGTTGTTGGTTGGGAGCTGGATCCCCAGGGTGACAGTACTGGGAGATAAACGGGGCCTAGTGAGAGGACCTCTGGGTACTGCAAAAGAAGAAAATATTGGTCTCCCAAAATCAGTTCTGAGGCCAGCAAGTTGTTATAAAAGACTGACCACTCCAGAGTGCTCTCTGGCTTTCCTATCCCGAGATGTGGTTTCTTATTCCCACATTCAACATCTCCTGCCAGTCATTTTTTGGGGCGGTGGGAGCTTGCCAAAGCATGTACCATACTGTCTGGACTTTCACTATCTAAAACTGTGAGCTAAATAAACCTATTCCTATATAAAGCTGGCCTCCCCCAACTTACTTTTTTTTGGTGGTAATGGGGTTTGAACTCAGGGCCTAATGCTTGCTAGGAAAGCTCTCTACAACTTGAACCACTCTATCAGCCCTTTTGTGTTGGGTATTTTCGAGATAGGGTTTCATGAACTGCTTTACCTGAGCTGGCTTTGAATCATGATCCTCCTGATCTCTGTCTCCCAAGTAGCCAGGATTACAGGCCTAAGCCGCTGGTGCCCAGCTATGCCCCAACTATTCATTATAGTACAAAACAGACTAATATAAAGATTGTTTTTGTTGTTTTTTTCTATAGTTGATTAAGAATCTTCTGAAGCCTTGGGATTTAATTCTGTCGAAAACAATCCCATCTGTAGAAGATACTAAAAGCCACAGTATAAGAAAAGCTACTTCCCCAGAACCTCACTAAGATGCTTGTAAGAGCCAGGTGCCAGTGGCTCATGCCTATAATCCTAGTTTCTCAGGAGGCAGAGATCAGGAGGATCACAGTTCGAAATCAGCCGGGCAAATAGTTCACAAGACCCTATCTTGAAAAAACCCATTACAAAAACAGGGCTGGTGGAGTGGCTCAAGATGAAGGCCCCCAAGTTCAAACCCCAGTACCTCAAAAAAAAAAAAAAAAAAAAAAAAAGATGCGATTAAAGAGAGCCGGGCACAAGTGGTTCACACCTGTAATCCTAGCTACTCAGGAGGCAGACATCAGGAGGATTGCAGTTCAAGGTCAGCCTGGACAAACAGTTCACAAGACCCTATCTCGGAAAAAAAAAAAAATCACAAAAAAGGGCTGGTGGAGTGGCTCAAGGTGTAGGCCCCAGTATTGCAAAGAAAAAAAAATTAAAGAGAAAAGTACTGACAGGCATAGTGGCTCACCACACTTGAGAGGATGAGACAGGAGGGTTGTCAGTTTGAGGCCAGCCTGGGCCACACAGTCTCTCTCTCAAAAAAAAAAAAAAAAAAAAAAAAGGAAGCATTAATTCTCACTTCCATCATAGTGACAGTGGGACTATTTAACAAATTCAAACTTCTTTTTCTCTGCACTGTTTTCCCAAAGTAGGTCACTAAATACAAGTTGCAAAAATAATCTGTATTTATAGGCCTTAAAAAGATTAACTGAGGGGATAGCTCAAAGTAGAGTACTTTGCCTAACATGCAGGAGACCCTGGGTTCAATCTACCACACTCCAAGAAAGAACAAAAAAAAAAAAGGTTAAACAAGCACCACTTCTTTAAAAAGAGCTTTGGGTATTGGGAGAGGTGGCACAAGCCTCTAATTCCAGCACTCAGACACAAAAGCAGGAGGACTGGGAGTTTGAGGCCACTCTGGGCTGCAAAGTGAGTTCCCAGGTCCCTAGCCAGCTTGAACTACTCAAACCAGACCCTGGCCCAAAAAAACATACAAAAAAATAAATAAATAACCTTTGACCTAATTCCATAAGTGGATTCAGAAATACACCTGGCTTCAGAATGGCTTGCCTTTGTTTTTAATTTCAAAGGAACTAAATACAAAGGCCAAAAAGCAACAAAACAGTGATCTGAAACAATTTTTACTGCACTGCAAATTTAAGGTTAAAACACAAATCACCTAAATCATAATGTGCATCCTGGGGTGATATGAACATGAGACACTATACAAGACAACTAACCCAATTTCTTCAAAAGCCAATTGCATTTCAGAAAAGGACAGGGAATCAAAAAATAGAAGGGGATATGCTCTAGTTTAATAGAATTAAGAGATATAGCAAATGCAATGTATAAACTTGTCTGGATTCTGTTTCAAACAAACCAACTACGAAGTCATTTTTGGTATAATCAAGAAAATGTGATCATGAATTTTTATCAGCTAATAAAATATTGCTAACTTTATTAGATAAGATATTGTGATTAATAAGAAAAATGTCTTCTTTAAAAGATACATACAGAAAAAAGATGAAGGAAGGAAATGTTAATAATCTATTAATCTAAGTGACGGGCATTTGGTGGTTCCTCAGACTATTCTCTCTGCTGACCCATGTTTGGGTAGTTTTACAGCCTTATTACAATGCATTCATCATGGATACCTTTACAGTCACTCATATCACAATGCATTCATCAGATCTGCTTCACTTACCGGTTACCAATTTCTTCTCTGTGTTTCAAAAGAGCTTGGTTAGCCATTTCTGGTTCTTCAAACTGCACATAGGCTTCCCCTGTTTTTCTTCTCCCTCTATAGTCCATCACAAAAGTAATGTCTACTATATTCAATCCTAGGATACAAAAAAGTTATTACAAATTAGTGCTGCTAATGGGAGCTTTTTTTAATCCTTAGAATTAACACATTCATTTATGCACTAATAAGATTTGTATGTTTTTGGCCAATCCCAAAGCAGCATACATTTTTGAAGAGGAGACAATTATTATGCAACCAAAAGTTATAAAACCTACATACTGTATTTCCAAAATGTTTAGGATCCAAGTAGCCTATCTAAAACATAACTCTCTCTCAAGGTTTTGTTTTAGTTTTTTGTTTTTGTCCATTATTATATTTTAGGAGACAATGGAAATTTAAACTAACTAACATTACTCCTGACAATGTATATTTTATAGCTAGGAATAAGATAATGCTTTTAAATATTTTTTCTTTTTTCTTTTCTTTGTGGTACTGGGGTTTGAACTCAGGGTCTAATGCTTGCTAGGCAGACTCTTTACCACTTGAGCCATACTCCCAAACCAGATAATGCTTTTAAATCATGTTAAGTTGTCTTACACAAACTGACTACTATTCTAAGAATATGATATAACTGCAAAGCACCTGCAAAGAAGTCTATAATGTCTTTCTCATTGCAACTATAAGGAAGTCCTCTCAAACGAACCACGCCATCATTTACCACAGGTGAAGATTTGACCTGCAGGCTCTTCATTAAGGCATCTACATCTTCATTGTTTATTTCATATACTATAAAGACAAAGCACAAAATGTTGCAAAATTTACATAACAAAGAGGCAATTTTTTTTTAAAAATCAAATATATTACCACTAGTAGTTTATCCAAGAATTCAAACACTAAGTTTTAATTTTTATGCACTTCTCTCAAGAAAATAGCAAGTAACATTTATTGAATATTTATTATGCGTCAAGCAAAACACATTTAATTTTCACCACCTTAAGGTAAACTTGGTCGACACTCTCATAATGGGTAAGATAGTGATATTATCAATCTGTACTTCATTTTCACAGGCTGTAAAATAATGCATTCATAATAATTAACTACTTTACTGTTGTTAAATGCTCAAAACAGAAACCAACTTGAAAAGTATAAAATCTAATGTAAAACCCCAAAAAGCCATAATCTGACATTACATACCTTCCACATATCGCTGTCCCATATACATCCGGTGCTTTTCTAAGGCTTTCTGTACATCTTGCTCTGACTCCATTTCAATTAAGGCATCACCCCTTCGTTTTCCATCTCTATTTAAGAGGAAATGTATTCCATTCTCACTATTGCGGATTCTGCAGTCTAAAGTTACATGAGTAATGTCAATGAAAAACAGAAAACAAACTTTTAATTCAATAATACAAGTCACTAGAATGCAATTTTCCAACAATGCAAAAAATGCCTGTTTTTTTTTTTTGGCGGTACTGGAGTTTGAATTCAGGGCCTTACTATTCGGGCACTCTAAGGCTTTAGCCACACCTCCAGCCCATGCCTGTTATATTCTTTACACATACCCGTCGTCAATGAAGCCATCCAATGCTAATGAGGAGTAGGGTCTAAAATGTTGTAAGTAGAAAACATTAGCCATAGCCATCCTTAGCACAGAAGCTTATGATCTTCTACCCATTAAATGGCAGTCAGACTAGGCTCGACACAGAATGCCTTACACTCATCCCAGTGTTTCTACCAGTTTCAAGTTACTTCAGGAAATGAAATATGATTGGGTTTATTCCTAGGTGTCTTCCTTTAAATTCTATCCAAATCTCCTCTAAAAATAATTTGCTATGAGAATTTGACTTTTCCCTCTTTTCATTACCATGGAAAGACATTCCTGTACTTCCTATTTTTTCTAATGCAAGTCAAAGATGTAAGTGGAAAAGTGGCTTCATAAAGTACTTAATTCACACAATGCTCTGCATATTTAGGGTGGTTAATACATTCAGTTCTATCCTTTCACCACATTTTTAAGGTGGTATCTTCTAAAAGTCTCATAAGAAGAAAATTAAAAATCAATCAGAGCTGAAGACATGGTGCAAACGGTAGAAAGCACCTGCCAAGCAAGCTCAAAGCCCTGAGTTCAAACCCCAATACTGCACAAAGATAGGTAAGTAAATAAATCAGTCAGCTATAGAAATTGAAAAAACAGCCACAGATTGGTAAACCTTCCAAACATGTTATTAAGCGTACTTCATGCAAATGATCTTCTATTCTAAATGTACATATTACATAAACAGCCATTCCTTTTTTTGGCGGGATTGGGGCTTAACTCAGGGCCTCATATTTGCTAGGCAGGCGCTCTACCATTTGAGCCATTCCAACAGCCCTTTTTTGCAATGGGTGTTTTTTCTACACAGTCTCATGAACTGTTTGCCGGGGCTGGCATCAAACCTAGATGCTCCTGATCTCTTCCTCCTGAGTAACTAGGATTGCAGGTGTAGACCATCACCGCCCAGCTAAAACAGCTACTCTTAATCCCCTATTCCCACTAATAGGCTTGACTTTTTTGTTATGTACATATCAAAACTTAAAACAAAACTGGGTTTTATACCATGTAGTTTTAACATTACTTTTGTTGTATGTAAAAATCTTTAAATCTCATGTATAACACAAATGGTACCTGGGATGTCATGGTATGACCATGTAACAGAATGAGACAATTCTCATTCTGTTCAATTCTATTCAATTCTCCAGAATAGCTAGACTTAGATTTTGTAAAGTTACCTTTCACTCAGACAAAGCTATACTTTAAAATACACATAATATATACCTGAGAAAAAGTTAAGCACATCTTCCACAGTGCACGACCAGGGTAATCCTTGAGCTCTAATGAGATAAACATCATCCACTTCTTCCCCTAACTTGGATGGACTCAATTCGTACTCAGGTAGTGGTGGAAGGTCTTCCAGGTAGGTAGTTTTGGACTCCTTTCATGACAAAATAAATGTAAAAATATTTGACAACCTACTTACAAAATGTTTATTTCTAAAAATAGACACTCTAGATGTTAGTATTATTTCAGAGGTGAGAAATAAACTCCACAGATCTAACTCAACATGTTTAGGCTTAAATTGTACATCCTAAACTGATAAGCAAGTGTATCATAGTGGTTTGACAGGACATAAACTTTACTGAGGGCTTATTTTTAAATTCATTAGCCCCAAATTATACCTCATTAATAGTGGGGAGGTGTTTTTTGAAACAGAACCCTGCTACAATCCTCCTACCTCAGCCTCTTTAGTGCTTTGGTTAAGGCAGTGCAAGAAGGGTCCTTTCAATTTGACAAGTATTTGAACGCCCCTACACACAGTGCACTATGTTAGGCCTTCATCTCAAAGAGCTTACTATCTAATCTAAGACAAGTATACAAGACAATATGCTTTAAGTGCTATAATTAAGGTACAAAATACTACAGGAACTCAAAACAGAGTGCTAACAGAAAAAGAATCAAGACATGGCATGAGATGGGCTTTGCAGGAAATATAAAGATAGGGTATTCCAGTTTGAGAGGTTAGGAGAAAAAGCAGTATGAACAAAGGCACATTTGAAAAATAGCAATTAATCTCATTTGTCTAAACTGCAGGGTAAAAATAGGAGCTAAAGAAGATGAGCTGGCAAAAAGAACTTAGTACCCTATAGAATGCCTTAAGGGTTGGGTTAACTTGTCCTTCACTAGGAAGGCAAAAAGAATTTAATAAAAGACACTGAGGATTGGGTAAATCAAGAAGACAGCAAAAGGTCTTGGAAAGATTAACCTGTTAGATGAACTGAGAAGGAAAAGAACATAAAAGGCAACAGCAGCAGTGAGAGAGATCAGGATTATGAGAGATACTTGAAGTACTCTATTTTACAAGGCTACAGCAAAACTCAAGTGTAGTAAGAATCCAACAAGCACTACAACCATAACCTGCAAGACAACGCAGGCTTCAATACTTGCAATCTACTAGGCTAAGAACAGAGACATCTGTGTTCCAACCATGTCTTCCTGAGGAATTATGTCTAATTTTAAGGAGTCAATGATGAAGGTAAATAAGCACGGTGTGTAACAGGAGATGCCAGATCAAAAAGAAGTTGGTTGGTTGGTTTTAAGGCAAGTTTCCCCATTTTCCCAGAATTTCATAAGCATCACAGAAAAGGGCAGCAGAAATTATTGGGCCAGAGTTCAAATCAATTAGCTCAGCTACTGGCAGGTAGCAGCCATGCTGATTAGCCTCCCAGATTCCATAAATTCAAGAAGCACAAATTCAATAATTATAAACATGACCCAAGGCATCGGGGTGTAGGTAGTCAAAAAGTGTGCAGACACTTCCCCGGATGCCACGTAACAAGAAGGGAATGCTTCATGTACAAAGATGTGCAATTAGAATTCTTAAAATATACTCTTTTTAATGGAAACAAAATAAAGGCAAATACTGCAGATTCAACCGAGAACCCCAAATCCTATTCCCCTGGACGCCCCCGCCCCACACACCTCCTCCCCATACCCAAGTCTCCCACTCGACAACGACCCAGTCCTTAAAGGACCTTCTGTCAAAGAAGTGGAGGTGCAGAGGTGACCTTCAGTAAACTGGGGCAGCCCGCCGTTCCAGGAGACACGAGCCCGCCCCCCACACACACTCCACGCCAGCCCAGGCGAATGTGCGCGCGGACCTCCGCGTTGGTGGCGGCCTAGCGCGGCAGTCCCACGGAATCCCCAACCCTCCGCGGGGGTCCGCCTCGCAACTCCACCACCGGCGTGGGCAGAGCGACAGGGAAGCGGGGTGGGGGCGTCAGCGGCCCCCAAAAACCTACCATGGGCCCGGCGGGAAACAAGGCCTCAACATTCACCCCAGCCACACTTACACTGCCCAACCGACCAGACTCGAAGGGAGAACAAAACAGGGAGAAAACCCGAAGCTTCCCTTGTTCCCGTGCCCAATAGGAGGACGGAGCGGGAGGGGAAGGCGGGTGTGCGGCGCAAGGCGCGGAGGCCCGGGCGCGCACGCGGGGCGCACGCTGAGGGGCGCTGAGTCGCGTGCGCGCGCCCTGTCGCGGCGCCCACGTACCTGGCTATAACCCCGCGCCGGGCCCGCGGCCGCAGCCAGCGACTGCGACAACAGAGGGGCGCGCAGGGCCGGGTAGGAGGCTGCGGCCGCGGCCGCGGCGGAGGTGACCACGGCGGGAGGGCCCGCCAGCCTTCCGGCGGGCGCAGGCCCGAAGTGGAGGCCTCGCGTCTGGGAGGCGGCGGCTGCAGCGGCCCCAAGGAGCAGCAGCAGGCGGCGGCGGCCCGACACGCCGGAGGGGAAGGAGCCGGCGGCCGAGTAGAAGGGCAGGCAGGCGGCGCCGGTGCGCCGACAGCTGCTGCAGTTACAGCCGCAGCCCCGGAGCAGCGCCCCGAGCACCCAGCGAGTCCCAGCCATGGGCTCCGGCGGCGACGCGGGGCCTGGAGGCGGCTGCCGCTGCAGCGCGAGCGGAAGGGAAGTTGAATCCAGGGCCGGGGAGGGGCTGCCGGGCACATGCGCCGCGGGCGCCGGCCGGGGGCAGCGCTGAGGCGCAGGAGGCGGAGAAGAGCGCGCCGCTCCGCCCTCGAGGCGGGGCCTCGCTATGCCGAGGGGTGGGGCCTGCACTCCTCTGCACGGTCCTGGCTCCGGGAAACCGAAGCCAGACGGCTCGGCCGAGACCCGGAGCGCAGCCCTGCTGTGCCTTCCACGCGCTGCGCTTCCGGAACGCGTGACGTGAGGGCAAAGATCTGATACCTGGTCCTAAGATGTTAGATAGTGCTGGAGGCGGCTTGTACGCCCAAACTTGGCATGAGTGCAAGAAGTCAACTGTTTGTTACTTGGTTTTAAAATAAAACTCTTCTTACATGCTGATAATGTGTATTATAAAAGATAAAGCCTTCTGTAAAGAGGTGGACATGCAGAGATTGCCAGATAAATAACAACCGGTTGTGCAGGTTTTCTCCTGTGGCCAGAACCTATCAAAGACAATAAAGACAAATGGGAGTTAAAAAAAAAGAAAACTTAATATTTAATTTAAATAAAAACGCTTCGAGCTGGGGATGTAGCTCAGTGGTAGGTTGCTTGCCTAACATGCACATGGGCCTGGCTTCCCACCCCAGCACTGGGGGGATGAGGGAGAGTGGAATACCAAAGGAAAAAACCCAACTTTTTATTGTGGAAAATCTCAGACATACAAGAATATGATGAACTTCCAGAACTAAAGAAATTATTTTTCATCTTTTCATACTACCACCCTATTTTCTGGCCCAAAGCCACCATACCTGGATGATAAGGACTTTAAAAAAGACATTTTAATAAATTATTTTTTAGATATTTAAGGTTATTGTGTTATAATATTAAGCTTTGACTTCCTTACCCTGGACTACTTCTAGGTAGGGAAAGCTCAGTATTTTCCAGAAAAACTTTTCCTGCCCAAAAAGGAAAGAAAGGGGGAGGGGAGGAATCTATTGACTTGGCCCTATGAACCTGGAGAATCAAGAGGAGGGAGAGATCTAGAAATCCTTTTTTGTGGTCCTATTTTTTTTTCTTTTTTTGATGCTGCTGGGTAGTTGTACATTAGGCACCCTAGGCAGACAATCTACCACTGAACTATGTTCCCAAACTGGTTTATTCCCTAAATTCTCTTTCAAGAAGGAAAATGGGTTAGCCTTCATAAGAGATTGTCATTATAAAGCAGAACTTGTAAATATACATATTCAGATACTGTTCGTATTTACTCACCCTCATTTTATTCATCATCCATAAAGTATAACTCTGTATGGATTAGAAAAAAACCTTGTAACTTGTCATCAGTACTAACACCTAAGCATTCAAATGTAAGCTTAATTTTTACTTAGAGGAATTGGGAAACAATAGGGAGAAAAGAAACGACAATTATTCATTCACCTAACAAACCTACTTTTTCACTATAAATACCCCTGATGTGAGAGCACTCGTGCACCTCTTACCATCAAATGTTCCTGCACCCATGTCTGGGTTGTGTAATATGTTTCTATCTTTCCTTTGCTTTGCTTCACTAACAAACTTTCTTGGTCTCTACCTTGATATGTCCTAAAATTCTTTTTTTGCAGCATCACAAACTCGGTATCCAAGGGCCAGGTGGAGGTCTTCCTCCTTTTGGAGACCTCCTGTCTAGAGCATTGCTGGTTTGGGTAACAGTTTGAGGTAGTGATAGAGACCAGAACAAAGCAGAGGACAGCAAATGGAGATGAGAGTTCAAAAAGTTTGATTTTTTAGACGAGGAAAGGGCAAGGCAGTAAAGGAAGTATAGGGCAAAAGTAGGTTTTGTTTTGCATTGTTTGAACTAAATTTGGTAAGATTAGAAGGATTTAGTTGATAAGGACTACTTAACTAGGAAAAAAATAAGCATAATTGATGTGTGGGTTCTAAGAAAAGTGGAAAAGAAAGCCATCAAAGCTCAGGTGCATCCATGGTACATTGTAATCTTATATGGAAATGTCACAACAAAACCCCCTGAATAACTATGATTCGCTAATAAAAATGTTTTTTAAAAAAAGTTCAAGTGCAGAGATTAGCTTTAAACAGAGATAGCTCTGCCACCTTTTCTATAAGTTAATCATAAGACATGCTTTTTCTAGTAAAGTCTGTACAGCAGACTTTACTAGACAGGTTGGCAGTTTACTTTGGCAGTTTCTGTGGTAGAGCTAGTCTAAATTGATAGAAACACTCTAGATTTAGTGGAGAGTAAGGAGAAAGGAGAAAAACAATCACCTCTCATCTCTTGGGAAGAATATTCAAACAAAAGAAGTTCTTATAGCTCTTAAACAGCAATTTATTATGAGCTGGAAGAGAAGCTAGAAGGGGATAATTGTTCTGCTTACTAATAAACGAATGAAGGAACTCATTTTATCTGTGCCCTTCAATTCTTAAAGGTGAACATACTTTTCTTCTGATATGCAATGAAGCTGAGTTAATCTCAAAGGGTCCCATCCCAGGACCTGTTTTGCATTTGAAAGAAGCTAAAAATCATGAACCAAGGATGTCAATAAGCCTAAGGTGGTGAAAGGAAAAGGAATTGAAGTCAAGTACCATAAAGAACCAGTGCCCATTTGTGTAACCTGTGATTAAGGTGCTATTCGTCATTCAAGATGAAAGGAAGTTTATTAGGTTGCGTAGATGTAAGAGAAATTCGAGAATTGAGGCTACCAGTTATTTCCAGGAAAAGCCAAAGAAATGCATTTTATCACTGCTGTCACTACCTCTGTCTTTTATCTGACAAGAAAAACAGATCCACTAGATCCACAAACTGAAAGATTTGTTTTTGCTGCAGTGATAAGTTTCTTAAGTTTGTTTTGCCAGTTGGCTTATGTTGATAATTAGCAAGCCCATGCTAAACAATTTTTATGTCTATTGCCTAGATTCTTTCTGTGAAGGAATAAAACGTACTTACTTACGATTTACACTTGATGGACCAACACACCTCCAAATACTGCAGCTTCTTCCCTTGTTAAAATAGGTGTCAGGGAAAGAGAGTAGTTAATTAGTTATTTAAATAAAATGTTCATCAATAAATAGTAATTTCAATAAAAATAAAATTTATGTTACACTAGGAGATCACCTTTTCTTTTTTCTTTCTTTTTTTTAAAACAGGGACTTGTTATGTTGTACAGATTGGCCTTGAACTGCTGGACTCAAGCAGTCTTCCTGCCCCAGCTTCCTGAGTAGCTGTGACTACAGGCACATGCCACCACATCTGGCTTTGATCATTTTATATTAGTAGCACATTTCCCCTCCACCCCAGAAAATATTTGAAAATGAACAAGACTAAAAATTTAAATTTAAATTTAAATTTAAATTTAAATAAAAATTTAAATTTAAAAATTACTGCATTCCTTTGGGCCTTCTCAGAATACAATGTTGACCTGGAATGCTGAGATTGGGAGGATCACCATTCCAGGCCAGCCCAGACAACTAGTGCATGAGACCCCTATCTCAAACAAAAAAACAAAATGGACTTTATAAGTATGAAACCCTTAATTGAAACCCCAGTCCCACCAAAAACAAATAAAAAACCAAAAAGGCATCATTCTGAATAATCATCTCTTTTAAATAGATAATACATAAACAGTGTAAAAAAATCACATGTGCAAACATGAAGGTTGTATACACACATACAGGTTGGCTCTAACCACTGTTCTCTAGTCATCCAGTTCTTCTCTAAGATAGATACTGTGCGGTGTTTTGTCACTTTTAAATTTGGTAATTCTGTACTTGGGATTTTGACAAGTTTTCTACTTGCTATGAAAGTATATTCTGAAGTCACTGAGTTCCTAAATTGAGAGCGAACGGGAAAGAAAGCACAGTAGACAAATGAAACCCCCTATCACAAGAAACAAAGCACACTTGGAGAAAAAAAACCAAAAGGAAAAAGTAAATCTGCTAAGATATTTGGAAGAACAATTTCTCCCCCTCTTTAACAATGTTGTTTTGTTAAAGTTTAACTTTAAGCTTGATGTTTTCTTTTTCCATATAATTTGATTCCAAGGAAAATTCATTTTCTTTGGGAAGAAAGCTGCCTTAAATCCTTTGAAGACCAAGATAGTTTATAAACAAATATTGAAAGTAGAATTGGAAAGTAAAAAGAAATAGATGTAACACAAGACATTTTAATAAAATTCTATTAATTTAAAATTATTTAATAAATTTAATAAAATTCTGGGTATGTCACTGTTTGCCTATGTGACTTTGGTCAAGGTATTTATCTCTCTGAACTTTTCCTAAATTATAAAAATGGAGATAATATTAACTACCAGACAAAGTTGTAAAATACCTAACACATAGGAAGAAACTAGTAAGTGGTAACAATTATTTTCTTGGCTATTGTTTAAAGGAAATGTTAGTTGTATTTTTATGTTCCTTCCAATGCCACCTCAATATTTATTTGCTTATAATCTA